TCCAGAGAAAAGTAACATTCACTTTTCTCTGGACCCTTGGCCACCACAGTGCAAGCAGAGCATTTGCCAGCAGGGGTCTTTTCAAAATATGCAGAGACCCCCAGAAGATGACAGAGCCACTTTAAATGGTTGTTTTTTTAAATTTTTGTCTTTACCAGCACTGACTACCAGTACTTAAAACCAGATGCAATGTGACAATCCTGTCACTGACAACCAGCTCCTCCTTTATTTTACTAAAAATCATATTGAATTTGAGAAAGAGCAAATGGGGCTTTCTTCACATGCCATCCCTACGTATTCTAACTATTAGCTGAAACTAAATTATCAGGCGAGCAAGGAATAAATCGAGTCATATATGTGCGTGTCCTCCAGGTGATACTCACTGATCATAGTTGGAATGTCAGTGGGTTGTTTCCTAATACAAAGGGCAGGGAAGTAAAACCCTAATTCAGTCATTTTGTCATATAATGAGGATTCTTGTTTCTTAATTTGTAGGCAATGTGCGTTTACAGGAAATGATGGCAGTAATGTGCAAGGAACGAGGGGCCAAACTGTTTGCAACTGATGAACGGTAAGTGCGACAAACTACTTGCGCTTGATGGTCTAAAACCTCCTTTTTATGTATCTGGCAGGGTTAGATAAAATATTTTGTGATACATCTATTTATTCCTATTGGCAGTCTTAAAACTGCAAGAGAAGTCCAAAAGTAGCTTAATCTCCCTAGCATTTGTATTTTTTGCAGATTCTGTATCGACAATGGTGCAATGATTGCTCAGGCAGGTTGGGAGATGTTTCGTTCTGGCCAAGTTACCCAACTAGAGGACTCCTGGATAACTCAACGGTCAGTATTCTCTTAATGCTCTCTTTCACGTCTTCTGTTCTGTGTACGCCAAAGCAGCAATTTTATGCACTAGATTCTGAAATTAATACATGATTTTTAATGCATGTATATAACTGAATAAATGATAGAAGGATTCTGTCAGAAAAGGACAAGAATGCAAACATGTATTCCTGACCCTATAGTTGTAAACTATCTGGCTCCGCCCCGCCCTGCCCTCCCTTAAAGCTAATAAAACTTGCATTATTTCCTGCTGCCGGTGCTGGTCCCACCCTCAATCTGCCTCTTTGGGTAAGATCATGAATTCTGATGATGTCAGCTAATCACCATGCTTTCCCATAGGAAAAAAATGGATTGGCTGAGATAGTCAATTCTGATGATTTTAGCCAAGGGGGCGGGGCCAAACGCCGGCCTGGTCAATCTGCTTCTCTTCACATCAATCAGTATCTCTATGAGAACAGTTCAGCGTCTCCATGCAGAGTGTGGTGGCGCTGAACGTCCGTGCTGCGCACCGAGGAGTGGCCACTAGAGGTGTCCCTAGGCTGTAATTTAAACACTACCTATTCTCTGAAAAGGCAGTGTTTATATGAAACCACCTGCAGGGACATAATACAGACACCAGAAAAACTACATTAAGCTGTAGTTGTTCTGGTGACTATAGGGTCCATTTAAGATATGGATGAGATTTTTGTTTTGACATATACTTAATTGTAAAAAAAATCTATTTCTTTTCAAAACTTGATGACAGGATTATTATATTAAAAATAGTTTTAAGGTGACAGTTGTCCATTAAGACTGAAGTAGCAGGAAATACGACTTCCTCCTGTGACATCTGTTCTTGAGGGTATAATATTATAGTTGCAAATGTTTTTGCAAATTTTTGCAGTTATAAGCAATTGCATGCAAGGAAACTCCAACGTTAGCCTGTACAAAGAGCATAGTTTGTTTGTTTTGTTTTTTGTGGAGCTTGATGTGTGTCTTATTATTTTTAAGATGAGGAATTTGTTCCATGGAATAAACAGGAATAGAATAAGAGCTTATATTTTCTTTTCTTTGAGGGCAAAATCTGGCAATTTAGGAGGTACTCTGATTAATCCCTTCACTACTAAGTGGCTTGCAAACAAAAAAAAGTGTCTTGGGTTTCCAGGAACATAATGTTTCAGTATGCTTAGATTATACTTTTATTTTATGGAAAAAATCTTTTGTAAATAAATATTTTTTTATTATTTATATATCTATTTACATTACATTGACATTGACCATACCATATCCCCCTTACATTGCAGCCATGTTGCCACTGTGGATACACATATATAGAAGCTGATACATTCACTCATATGCACACACATTGACAGATACAGACTGACAATGTGTATCTGCCTCTGTGTATTTCTAACAGAGTATGTCTGGCAGTGTGTGTCTTTGAGCTTGTGCTTGTGTGTGTGAGTTGTGTTTATTGGAGGCTGCTTGTGATTTTGACCATGTTGTGTGAGCATTGACTGTGTGGGAAGGCTGTTTTTCTTTGTCATGTCCAGCTCCACGCACTGTTCAATTTATATGTATATATACATATCAAAAGAGTTGTGGTGGGGAAAAAGGTGTGGATGAAAACCCCCTTCCACCTGAAGTAAGTGGATAGTTAATACATTGCTAAACACTGCAAGGGATTCTGGCTAGGCGTATGCAATGAGCTCAACAAAGAACCCCATTTTTGCCTGCTGTATACAACAGCTTTGAAACACAACTCAGGAAGAGGAGCAAAGCCAGTGAACCACTCATGGACAACTGTTTCATGTTAATGCAACTCATCAGTATGAGGTTGGTTACTGGCTTGCTATGGAGGCTTGGCGAATGTATTAACTATCCACTTCAGTTAAAATATGTTTTCATCCACAACTCTTTTGGGGTGGGTATATATATGTATGTGTGTGTGTGTGTGTGTGTGTGTGTGTGTGTGTGTGTGTGTGTATATATATATATATATATATATATATATATATATATATATATATACTTATTTTATTATTATTACTGCAGCCCCCACTTATCTTTTTTACATGGAAGGAGGCTCTAACCTGGAATTTCTTTGGGTGAAGACCACTGACAATGCTCCCTTCTGGTGTATGGCTGCAAAGGAGCATCAGCAGTCATCTGCATTCAATGATGGTTAATGGTTAAGGAAATCCATAAATCTCACCAATAGCTCCCGCAGATACAGGGGTGTCAATGTGGAGCCAACAATCTCATTGTAGTGCTGGGTTTAAAGTCTGGAACCTGGCAGCTATTGCAAATAAATGTAGCTTGCAAAAAAAAAAAAAATTACGATTTGGGAAAGGGGACACCGTATTTCTCGTTTCCAGGGTTCTAGTAATGCCTTACACTTGTCCTTCCTTTAGGTACAGAACAGATGAAGTGGAGGTGACGTGGAGGGACTGACTAACAGTGGAGAATTGGTGACCATTTATGAACCCATGGAAAACTGTCCCATCATGGGAACTTTACAAACAAAACAGCAACTACTTGCAATTCACAATTTCACAACTAAATTACCAAGACAGGTCTACATCCTTTTTGATGATACATTTGGATACTCTTCTCAATGGCTTTTTATACAAGTGGTGTCCAAACCTATATTTTGTACTCTTTCTAACTGAAAAGCTAAATTGCATGTATATCTGCACAAAGAAAGACACATTGTAGTTTGCAATGATGCTGATTTATTTACAACATATGATTGAAAACAAAGTCAGCGACAGAACAAGAAGGGCTTGGTCATTTAAGGGGGGGGATAGTCATATTTCACATTATACAGAACATTTTGAAGCAGCTAACTATTCTGTCTTGCTGCTGCAACAGCGAAATGCAGCTCACATCCCAGGTAAGGGTTCGAATAAAATCAGAGCTCACATCTTCTGTTCTACTGGCCATTGTGTAACATGCAACAGAGCATTACTCCCTTTTAACGTTTTATTTAAGAATACAGTTTTCCATGTGTTAAGCCTTCACATGACAAAGGGTTACCAGCATTAAAGATAATGCAGATAAGGGGGCAGAGCAAAGTTTAGAAAAAAATTTTTTAGCACTTGGAACCCACTCCAACACTTATTTGGACTATGTACTCTGTGTACTTTGTTTTTGTTCTTTGTTTTTGTTCTTTGGTGCAATTATCCATGAGCCCATGCAGTCCTATTGCCTGCTCTGTCCGAAGACGATTCTTAAAATACCCCATCAAGAGCTGTGATAAAGTCTAGTCTATTATAAAGCCTGATGATCCCATATTTTAATATGCCATTACACAACATAGCTGTATAGGGCTGCAGGTTTTTACTATTACTATCAGCTCCCACATGTAAAACTCCTGACTGCAGATCCACTTTGGACATTACAGCTTTAAATTGTGACTTGTACATCTGTGCGTAGAGAAAAGTAGAACTATTTTAATTTTAAAAAAAATATAAAATTAACATTCACACAAGGTTGTGATTTTCTGTCTGGAAATGCAGAAGTTGTAAACCGGTCATGCTGTGATATACACACATGCATGCATATATACACAGCATACAATATGTGATTTATCCTGTCCTTTCCATTGTATATATTTTGTATAAGATATGGAGGGTTCAGTGCAGTTTTAACAGTAGGGTATTGTAAACTTCTATAAAGTACATAAGCATCATTAGAACTGGAAAATGTCCGAATGGATCAGAAAGTTAATGGGTGTTTACCAAATCATATTTGTGTGTAATTATTTCTTCAATGTATGATTATTAAGGATTTTTTGAAGTACAACAATAAAATAGAATCCGCTCACATACAGTAAATATGAAGCTAGTAAACATCTGTACTATATTATCATCATACATTCAGTGCTGGTATTAACATTGATAGTTAAAGGGACAATATAGTCACCAAAACAACTTTAGCTTAATGAAGCAGATTTGGTGTATAGATCATGCATCTCACAGCTAAATTATCTGCCATTTAGGAGTTAAATGACTTTGTTTATGCAGCCCCAGTCACACCTCCCTGCATGTGACTTGCACAGCCTTCCTAAACTCTTCCTGTAAAGAGTCATCTAATGTCACTTCCTTTATTGCAAATTCTGTTTAATTTGGAAGGAGATAACTTTCAAAGTAAGTTACATCTGATTGAAAATGTAACCATTTGGTTTTATGCAGGCTGTGTCAGTCACAGTCAGGGGAGGTGTGGCAAGTGCTGCATAAACAGAATGAAAAGTGACTTAACTCCTGAATGGCAGTGAATTGAGCAGTGAGACTGCAGTTGCATGATCTATACACAAAAAAAGTTAACGTTTTCCTGGCTAATCCATGTCAGCATCACTTATGGGTTATGCTCCTCCTTCTCAGCTGATAGGACAGGAATCTAAATTAAAATGATATATAAGGGAGTCACCTCCCCCTATTCTTTCACTTCCCCCATTTATATTTTCCTGTCCTCCAGCTGTTGGGCAGCAATATACCTTTTTATTTTAAAGTTCACCTGCCATTAGTTTTTCATTATGGCACCTCTGGGAAGTTCAGCCTCTCTGTCCATGGAAGAACCCAGATACAGCCCAAGCAGTTTGGGACTCCCTGGGTTAGAATTGCTATGTTAGTGCATAGTAATTGAAGATATTGGACCTCTGTGGATTGAATTATAATGAATTGAGCTCTATTTGAGGTGGTAAGGATGCCTGGTTACCTTATATTGTGTTCTGAAATTGGCTGTTACAAGATGGCTGTCGCAATTGGTTTTTTTGGGGTTGTAAGTCGTAATTTTTCTTCTTCTTAGGCGTATTCTCTGCCCCCTGAGGCTTCTCCTCCCTGTTCCCAATGAATTTGGTGCGAAAATTGGCGCAAAATTTCCGCCATATATCCTCCTTTGTAGATCAGAAAAAAAACAAGATGGCCAATCGGCGTCTTCCTGTCTGGCCTTAAAGTGACCTGCATGTGGTTTTTGGTGATTCCTTTGCTTCCAATGTGTTGGTTTAAGCTGAAAGTTGCTGTAAAAGGAGGAATTTATTTAAGTGGTGTAGAACCAAACGCAGGCGATGTTGGAAGTCCAGCGGTGTTTGGGAGTTTGTGTCTGATTTCAGTTCCATGAACTCGACGACCAAACACCGCTGCCTGCGTTCATGCGAACAAGATGGCCGCCACCTCGTGGTCATTCATGCAAACAGCGGCCACCCAGACGAACAATTAGAACACTGCGGTGGAACGAGTTACAAACTGTCAATTAGGCTTAACAAGCCCACGGGTGGTCCATGGTTCGTGTGCCTGTTCAGTTCCCGAACAGAATAGAGAAAGGATACAAACAAATTCTTTTATGAGCCTTTTCGCATTGCCCATAGTCTTGAGGCAGGAGGCTGGCAAGCGGGCCCCTTCAGAAGCTTGTGGGAAGGGGAGTTTGTCACAGTTACCATGGCTTCCTCTACCTCAAGGAGCAGTGTAAGGTGAGCTGTGTCCATATGATTCTAAAAACGTGCCTATGGCTATACCTATATTAGGTTGCATATATATTATATACAGACATACTAATGCACCGATGTCTATATTTTTTAATTGCAGCCTGAGACCGCCTGAAAGAAACCATGCTAAGGATGCACAGAAATTCAAGCAGTGCCATGCCTGTCCATCTTCTGCAATTGAGGGGGAAAAAAATTTGCAGGGACTGTTTTCGCATTATAGCAAGCGAAGGAGCCTCAACATCGGCTGATAATGTGAATCCTCATCTGACTGAGGTGATTTTTATGGATGAAGCGGCTGGGATTAAGAAGGCGACTCCTCTAGGAGGAGTCATTCCTCTAAAAAAAAAAAAAGAGAGGACTCCTCAAGCTCAATGTCAGATTCCCAGGTCTCTGACGACTGTAACTCATCAGAAGATGAAGAGAGTATGGATTATCCCTATAACCTAGATGGCAAAGCTGTTGATTCTCTCATATCCCAGATAAGAGATACATTGAGAATTCCTGAAAACCATGGAGAGGCTAGGGATTCAGATATCTATTTTGAAGACTTACAAAGAAAAAGTTACCTTTCCTATAAACTCTGCCATCAAAGACCTGATTGAGTCAGAGTGGAAAAAACCTGAAAGGTGTTTATCCACACAAGGGATGTTTAGTAGATTATACCCTTTTCTAACTTCTGAGACAAAACCTTGGAACATGGCACCTAGGTGAATGCAGCAATCATCAGAGTGGCAAAGAAAACTGTATTGCCCATCGACAGCGCAGTATCCCTAAGAGACCCCATGGAAAAACTTATGGATGTAAATCTTATAAAAACGTATACTTCATTAGGGGCAGCTATACACCCAGTGATGGCTTTAACATCACTGTCAAGGGCTCTAAGAGTATGGACCTCTACTCTGAGCAAAGACCTTTCCAAGGGAACAAACAGAGAAACACTAATGGAAATCTGGCCTCTGATTTTATTACAAAAGCTTCAGTAATAGCTTTAGAAATAAGCTTGGTAATCAATTTCTGAAAGGAGAGCTCTATGGCGCAGAACATGGGGTGCAGATAACTCTTTTAAGACAAACTTATGTCTACTTCCTTTTCAAGGAAACTTGTTATTTGGAAAGGCTTTGGATGAAGCAATATCTAAGGCTGCAGAAGGGAAAAGGCACTACTTCCACAAGATAGAAGAAGCAAAAGATATCCCAGTGGATGGGGAAGAGGCTATAGAGAACAAACCTCCTTTTGAGACGCCAGAACATATAAACCTGGTAGAGAGTATGCTAGAGTACCATATTGGAAAAGACAGTCAATTTTCCAAACTTCAAAGTAGAAAAGAGAGAGGAAAATCATTTTGAAGTGGCAAGTGACAGTCACGGTTGGAGCCTGCCTTGCAAGATATCTTCAAATCTGGAATTTGCACGTCAAAGACCAGTGGGTTCTTTCGGTTATAGACAAAGGATACTATCTCAAATTCGAAGAAAATATTCCATCCATTATGGTCAAGTCTTCAGTATCTCAAGAAAAAGAAGCCTTTAATGAAAGAATGTCTAGAAAAACTACTTCAGCAAGACATTTTTTGTCACGTGCCCTAGACAGAAGTATTTCAAGGTGCTTAAGCCGCTGTTTTTCTCGCCCCAAAGCAATCAGGGAAGTGGAGGATGAAATTAGACCTCAAGAAAGTGAATTATTTTCTGAAGAAGAGAACGTTAAAGGTGGAGAGTCTTCAAACAATCATGCCTCATATTCATTTATCAGAATGGCTGACATCCAGCTTCAGGATGCAAATTATCACATCCCTATAGCTGTATCACACAGAAGGTTCCTGAGGTTCAAAATGTTTAACATTTATTTTCAGTTCAAAGGCATGCCATTTGGTTCTGCTCCAAGGACGTTTACGAAAATTTAGTTCGGCCTTATAGTCATTTTGAGAATAAGAATATTTCACTATCTGGATGTCATCCTAATTGTGAACGCATGCCAGAAAAAAAGTAGATACGAAGATGGTTATCCAGAAGTTGCAAGACTTCGGCTGGATAATAAACATCGTCAAGAGTCCACTACAACCGTCGCAGAAAATAAATTACTTGGGGACCAATAACAACACAAGAAAAAACTGGATAGCCCTAACAGGATAGCAAGACTTCTTGGGAAAGTCTCTACAGCAGTAGTATGCAATCACATGACTGCCACAGATTACATAAATCTCCCAAGAATGGGATAAAAAAAATATTGATGACAGAGGAAGATAAGACTTTCTCTTCAATGGTGGATGAAAGAGGAAACTATAAGAGGCTTCCTGCCAGAAGAAACAGAATGGGAAGTTTTGACAACAGACTACAACAGGAGGGGTTGGGGTGCGCAATACAAAAAACGAGCTAGCCCAGGGATTATGGCCTGTGAGATGCTGGAATCTCCATTCGAACATCTTGGAAATGAGGCCATTTTACAGGGCTTTACTGACATTCAAGCACTTCTTAAACAAATGGGTGAAGGTAAGGGTGGACAGCACCACTGCCATGGCCTACATCAAGGAGGGATAAAGAACAAGAGATTGATACAAGAATCCAAACCAATAATATTCTGGGCAGAATCTGGAAGGGTTGTCTGCGATTCACCTACCAGGACAGATGAACACTGTGGATTATCTGAGCCAACATTCTGTAAAGCTAGGTGAATGGAAACAGAGTTCGGATGTTTTCCAAAACAATGTGATCTATGGGGTGTACCGGATATAGATCTGATGGCGACCTATAGAACCAAGCAACTCACTTTGTATTTTTCAAGGAGATTCGACCCCAGAGCAAAAGTTCAAGATGCGCTAACACAAAAATAGGAATTTCCGCTGGGCTATGTCTTCCCTCCTCTTCTGCTAATTCTGAGAGCAATCAAGAAAATCTGGAAGGAGTAGAGGTTCCAGCAATTCTTCTTCATTGGTCAAGGAGACCTTGGTTCCCACTACTTCTGAGCATGACAATAGAAGATCCATGGGAACTACCAATCCAGAAGAATCTCGTCACAGGGTCCAGTTCTCCATGACAATCCTGCCAAATTTTGTTTGAAGGCTTGGAGATGGAGAAGAATGTCCTAAAAGCTAAAGGAATTTCAGAAACTGTGCTAAATACTATAATTCAAGCAAGAAAACCTAACACATCCAAAGTGTACTATAGGATTTGGAGAACATGTGTTGAATGGACCGCTTCCCTGGGCAAAGATTCAGTTTCAATAAATCTTCCTAACTTGTTAGAATTTTTACAAAAGGGACTAGAAAAACGATTGAGTCTCAGCTCCCTGAAGGTTCAATTATCTGCCTTCTCAGACATATCTAATGTCCAATGGGCTCTAGATCCTACAATCAAGTTATTTCTAAAGGGGGCCATGAGAATCAGACCAAAAATGTCATTCCAGCATGGGATCTACCAACAGTGCTACACAGTTTAACTGGTGCACCATTTGAACCTATGGATTCATCATCCCTATGAGACTTGATGTTGAAAAATTTATTTCTTATTGTTATCACATCTACTAGAAGGACTTCTGAACTCCAAGCCCTTTTGATTTGGATTACTTCTGCAATTCATAAAGCATACAAGGTGGCTGGAAAGAAGGTACCAGAGGGAATCAAGGCTCACTCTACCAAGGCTGTCTCGGCATCTTTGGCAGATAATTCAACGGAGGAATTTTGCAGGGCGTCTGTCTGGTCGTCCTCCAACACTTTCATAAGGCGTTACCGTTTAGATGTTACAGGCTCCTCTGTCTCTTACAGGAGGAAAGTCCTTAATTCTGCCATTTAATGTTTAAATTTGATTTGCATTGAAAATGTTGTTTATAAACTTGGGAAATCCCATAGGTGGTGATGCTGGCATGGATTAGCCAGGAAAACAGAAAAGTGCTGCCATACTTGCCGTAATCTTCTTTTCCTGGCTATTATCCATGTCAGTATCAACAATTCCTCCCAATGTCTCAACTGACTTAATTACGAGACTGCTGAATATGCGGAGCGGACTTCCTTCTATAACCTTATTTTAATTTAGATTCCTGTCCTATCAGCTGAGAGGAAGGATGCTGACATCCTCGTGGTGAGGCTGACCTAGATAATAGCCAGGAAAAGAGTTACAGTGAGTATGGCAACAATTTTCTGTTATGGCGACTATAGTGTCCCTTTAAATCACCATGAGCTCCGTTCAAAGAAGAAGGGGGAGAGTGAAAGAAGTATATGAAAAGTAGTTAAATGGAATTGGAGTAGCTGTCGCGTTTCGTTTGTCTCCATGTGGCAAAAACAGATAGAATTACCTTCCGATCGAGGGGAGTGACGCTCAGCGGTCTTCTGCCATGATGCCTGGCATTTGCGGCATGTCTGTGCATGCCGGCTGCTGCTGCAGACCCACGCAATTATATAGCCCCAAGTCCATCCACAGGAAAGACGTCGACATTCCAAGAACGACGTCCCTTAGCTCATTGCCCTGTCGTAGTTTCCCTTAGATGGTTATCCGAAAATGTGTTCCTGATCGCGTTTTTCTAGTTTTTGACTTTGGCTTCGTTTTGTCTTTCCTGATTTCTGGTACCCTTGACTTGGCTTTTCCATAGCTCTGTGTCTCGTTCTGTGTCCCTGACCTCGGCTAGTTTTCTGACTATTCTCGGATATGTTAAGTATCACACCCTAGAAGTAAAGGCCCAGTAAGACGTTGCTCTTACTTCTAGGGTGTGATACTATTCTTCATGCTGGTTCAATATAATCATGACATTACGATAGGGCCATAGATCCTGCAGATATGTGTCAGCACATAGTAGCTTGTGAGAGAAAGCTAGAGAAGAATGTTTACCGTATGAATCAATTTGTCCAAGCTTTCAATACGCTACTAATATGCAGTGCAGTCTTTAACGCGGGGCAAACGGGGCAGCTTCCCCGGGCCCAGTTACTCTTGGGGGGCCCAAAGCAGCTGCCCCGGGGGCCCCGCTGCCCTCAACAATTTTTTTCCCCATGGGACCCCTGGCCTGCACATTAAGCAGGGGCCTGGTCACATGCTGTAGCCCTCTAACAGCACAACCGCTGCGAGTCACTTCCTCCCAGTAAGGAGAGGAGCCACGCAAGAGACTAAGGAGCCTGTGCCGGGAGAGGCAGATCCCAACAGCCTCAGCCTTCAGTCTGGACACTGGGGAACCACCTTCCAAGGTAGGAAACTAGAGGGTGGGTTTAAAAGTGTAAATTTATGTCTGTCTGTTTGTGTCAGTGTATGTTTTTCAGTCTGTCTGTGTTTGTGTCAGTATGTTTCTGTGTATGTGTGTTAGTTTGTCTGGCAGGGGGCAGGGTCCAGGGTCCCCAAGCAAATGGTTGCCCAGATGGCCCTGCTAATATGTACAGCTCATTTGCAGCCTGATGTCCCTTCAGCAGTTACACGCTCACCTACTGTACCTGTACCTACACCTATTGTATATCTATAACCCTATCTTCACCCCCGCATTTTGAAGGTAATATTCATGAATGTCAGGGATTCCTTAATCAGATTGAGTACCATTTTGAAGCCTCACCTGGGTCCTTCCCCATGGATAGAGCTAAAATTGGGTACTTAATGAACCAACTACATGGTAAAAAGCCTTAGCATGGGCCAATCCATCATGGGAAGACTAAGACTGTTGCCCATAATTACCAAGAATTAACTTTGAACCATTGGGAAGGGAGAGCAATGCGGGATAAAACTTACCAGGAAAGGTTAAAGGATCTTAACATGTATAGCTTGGAGGAAAGACGAGACGGGGGATATGATAGAATCATTTAAATATATAAAGGGAATCAACACAGTAAAGGAGGAGACTATATTTAAAAGAAGAAAAACTACCACAACAAGAGGACATAGTCTTAAATTAGAGGGACAAAGGTTTAAAAATAATATCAGGAAGTATTACTTTACTGGAAAGGGTAGTGGATGCATGAAATAGCCTTCCAGCTGAAGTGGTAGAGGTTAACACAGTAAAGGAGTTTAAGCATGCGTGGGATAGGCATAAGGCTATCCTAACTATAAGATAAGGCTAGGGACTAATGAAAGTATTTAGAAAATTGGGCAGACTAGATGGGCCGAATGGTTCTTATCTGCCGTCACATTCTATGTTTCTGCCCTAATGCCTATCAAGCAAGGAAACCGGTCTATCTCAGAGTATGCCATAGAATTCCAAAAAATTCTAGAAATAGGCAGAATGACAGTTTAGGAGAAAAGAGGGCCTTTGCTCATACTATGGCAAGAAAGGACATATGAAAAAATGCTTGCCCCCATACATCAAGAAAACTTGCGCACCTAAGAACCATAAGGGGACCGGTCTTCGGTGTGATGGATATGTCCTCTGGTACTACCAAAAGTAGATTTCTCCTTTATATTACTGCTCGATGCAACAAGAAATGTTTTTTTTCTTGTAAAGCCCTGATGGACTCAGATGCTGCAGGAAACTTTATCGACATGCAATTTGTCAGTAAACGCCTCATACCCATCAAGGAGAGAGAATCACCTATGGCTGTCGAAGCCAATGGTGGGAGACTTTTCTCTCAACCTCTAATTACCCATGAAACTATGCCTATTACTGTTACTATAGGAGCGTTGCATAAAGAAATCATTACGTTTCAGATAATTGCTTCCCCTTCTTGTCCCATTATACTAGGATTCCCATGGCTTGTTCAGCATAATCCTCATAGACTGGGCTAAGATGGGAATACTAGAATGGGATAAAGAATGTAGTGAGAGATGTATGCTGCCTATTCCTTAAAGAGTGGGCATCATTGCTCTACCTAGTCCTTCGCCTCAGCCTACCGAAATTCCTGTGCAGTACTGGGAGGTTAAAGAAGTGTCTAGTAAAAGTCATACTGATACGCTACCTCATCACAGATTTTATGATTGCTCCATATTATTATTGCCATTTATATAGCGCCAACAGATTCCATAGCGCTTTACAATATTTTGAGAGGGGGATGTAACAATAAATAGGACTATTACAAGAAAACTTACAGGAACAATAGGTTGAAGAGGACCCTGCTCAAACGAGCTTACAGACTATAGATTTGTTACCCGGCACTATGCCCTCTAAGGGCATAAGTGTATGACTTATCACCACAGGAAAGTAGGATTATGGAGGAATACATTAGTCTCTACAAAAAGGTCACATACGTAAATCTTCTTCACCTGCGGGTGCAGGGTTCTTTTTTGTATCCAAGAAAGATGGAGAGTTACGGCCATGTATTGATTATAGGGCACTGAACAAGATCACCATCAAAAATGCTTATCCCATTCCCCTTATCTCAGAATTGTTTGACAGACTCCAGGGCGCTATGGTGTTTACCAAACTCGACCTTGGAAGTGCTTACAATTTGGTAAGGATTAAGCAGTGTCATGAATGGAGAACTGGTCACTATGAGTATCTTGTCATGCCCTTCGGCTTATGCAATGCTCCAGCCGTATTTCAGGATTTTTCTCAGAGACTACATGTATACTTTTGTATTAGTATATCAGGATGATATTCTAATTTATTCCCCTGATCTCCAGACTCATCATAGGCATGTGAAGCAAGTATTTCAAACTTTGCTTAAAAATGGGTTATATTGCAAACTTGAGAAATGCATATTTGACCAGACAGAGGTACAGTTATTGGGATATAATATTTCGGCCTCTGGTTTTCAGATGGACCCTTGCAAACTAGAAGCCGTTCTACGCTGGCCATAACCTAATGGGTTAAAAGCCAAAGGTTTATTGGGTTTGCAACTTACTATAGGAGATTCATCAAAGGTTTCTCTACTGTGATAGCCCCCATCACCAATATGACACGTAAGGGGGTTAACTGTACTATATGGTCTAAAGAAGCTAGAGAAGCTTTTGAGCTTCTTAAGAAATTATTCGCCTCTGCTGACTGTCACGGCAAGGGTGCATAATTTATTATTGCCATATGGAATGTTCCTATTTAATATAACTTGTGCAGTGCATCAATAATTGTACCCCTGACTAGAGGACAAATGGCAGAGAGAAATAGTTTTTTTGATCAAAAGGGGCTTCTGCAAGGTGTGAAACAGATTGCCCTTTTTGATCTTTCAAGGGTTCTGCAAAGTAAGATATTTTACACTTACGCCACCTGTATGACCAGTTTCAATGTAAACTAACTGACTTTGACCATATGGCTGGAAACTCTCAATTGATAATTCAGTCCTCTGATATGGTAATGGTATTAGTTTCATGAAGACCCTTCCTTGTGTTCCAGTATCATATCCAAGAGAAATATTAATGCTTACCCACAGCTTAATAAGTCTAATTTTTATTATATTTGGAATGGGACAAGCCCAATCTCTTAATTAAGCCAAAACATGAGTTGCACAACTTAAACTGTGTGGCAGGAATTGTGATATCTGTCCTATTGGATCGTGGGTGGGGCGTTTACTTGCTTGGGGGTCAGAATATAATTCTGAGTGAGTCACCATCATCCTTCCTTGCCAGAGACCACCTGGGCAGAAGTTGTACTTTGAAAACCTAAGTGAGTAAGACTTCCGTATTTTATCCTTTTTGGTTTTATCTGTTGTTGGTGTAAATAATTGATCATATATTTTTATATGCACTGTGACTATTTTTTGCTCATAATAAACATTAATTTATTAAGTTCTGCCTTTGTCTGGTTAAGAATCACATTACCTGAAGAGGCTACTTAGTATTTTGCAATTACATAGATATTGTGATAAGTAATATTTGGTGGGTTTTTATTCTTGATTTACTTGGGGCACCAAGACACCCCATTTATAAATTGTCTTGGTGGTGGCAGCGTTAAAAAAGTTATATTATTATGTTTAAGTGTGGGTGGTGTTAAAAGCGGGATTTTGTCATTATTTCTGGTCTAGTGCAGACAAACCGTGAACTTTCACCACCACAACTACGTCATGCACACTATTGGAGTAGTGTGTTCGTGACACTGACATATTGGTACATCCTGACACTAGCAAACCCTTCATACTAGAGGTAGATGTGCTGTTTTTTCTCAGAGGGGGAGTCAGGATACCCTTTTGCATCCTTGTGGGTTCTTTTCTAGAAAGTTGTCACCAGCGGAGCGTAACTATGATATTGGTAACAGAGAATTGTTGGCCATTATACTAGCTCTGAAAGAATGGTGACATCTTTTGGAAGGTTCCAAGGATCCCCTCCTGATCATAACTGATCACAAAAACTTGCCATACATTGGAGATGCTATAAGTCTGTCCTCTAGACAAGCTAGATGGTCATTGTTCTTTTCACGCTTTAACTTTATCATCACGTACAGACCAGGTCCTAAGAACATTAAGGCTGTCGCCCTAATTTGACAGAGTCAGAACAAGAACAAGAGACCTCCCCTATCGTTCCACCTGGGTGTATCATTCCCTCTACTGTCATTTCCTTGTCTTCTCCTCTTCTTTGTGCTATCCTGGCTGCTCAGTCTCAGGCACCTAGTGATAAACCTCAATATAGATTGTTTATTCCGTTGCTAGAAAGAGAGGAGGTACTAATTGTTCCACGATAATGTGACAGCTGGACATCCGGTTATTAATAAAACTGTATCCACTGTCTCCGGATCATTTTGGTGGCCGCCTCTTAGAAAATACATCAGAGAGTATGTGGAGGCTTGTACCGTTTGTGCAGTTTCTAAGGTTTCCCATAATTACTATGTGGGTTATTGCAACCACTTCCTATACCCAGTGTCCCATGGTCTCATTTGTCTATGGACTTCATTGTGGAACTCCCGATTTCTAAAGGCTATACCACCATCGTTATGGTGGTTGATCGCTTTTCAAAAATGGCACACCTTGTTCTGCTCAAAAAGTTCCCTTCTTCCCAAGATCTGGTTCATATATTTATATGCAAAATTGTCAGATTTAATGGTATTCAACAAAATATTGTGTCAGACAGGGGTTTCCAATTTGTCGTGATTTTGTAGAGCATTTAACAAACAGTTGGGTATAGAATTGTCTCTCATCTTCATACTATCCTCAAACTAATGGTGCGGCTGAGAGGGCCAACCAGTCATTGGAACTATATTTGCAATGTTTTATTAATGGCACTCTAGAAAACTGGTCTGACTTGCTACTTTGGGCCGAATTTGCCAGGAATAATGCTACCCATGACTCATCCGGACATAGTCCATTTTTTGTCAACAACGGTAGTCATCTTGTTCTTTCTGCAGTGTTCTCCGACCCTGCTATTTCTGCTCTGGCTGAACATCTCACATGTATACGTGAGACTTGTACTAAGGTCCACACGGCTCTTGAAATTGCTGGTGCTCGTTTCTAACTTCATGCTGATAAGCAGCGCAGTGCCAACCCTGTTTACCAGGTGGGTGATCGGGTATGGCTCTCCTTGCAAAATATCAGACTCAAGGTTCCTAGCATGAAGTTTGCACCCAGGTTTATTGGTACCTATCGAATTGTTTGGAAAATAATCCTGTTTCATATTCTCTTGCACTTCCTGCCTCCTTGCGTATAACTAATTCATTTCATGCAGCTTTGTTAAGCCTCTTATCTGCAATAGGTATACTGTCCCTTTTGTCCCTCCACCTCCTTTGGTTATTGCTGGACGGCAGGAGTACGAAGTCTCATCCATAATTGATTATAGATTTTCTTGTGGTTCTTTGTAGTCCTTGATTGATTGGAAGGGTTATAGGCCTGCTGGTCGTTCTTGGGTTCCTGCTTCTGATATACATGCTAGCCGCAAAATCTGTTCTTTCCACAACAAATTTCTTGTCAGAGCTTCAGGGAGGGGCGGGGGGGGGGATTATGTCACATATCCTTCGTATCCATGTGGCAAAAACAGAGATAATTACCTTCTGAAGTTCAAGGGGAGTGCTGCTCGGCGGTCTGCTGCCTGTCTTTTGCGGCATGTCTGTGCACGCCGGCCGCTGCAGACCCACGCAATTGTATAGCCCCACGTCCGTCCGTGCTAAAGACGTCGACGTGCGGGTGACATCACACAAAAGATGCACACGCACGTTTTGGGGTCAAGGGCTAAGTACAGTCAATCAGATCTGCAAGAGGGTTATTTAAACTCTCTTATTCCTTAGCTCATTGCCCTGTCGTGGTTTCCCTTAGATGGTTACCCGAGAGTGTGTTCCTGATAAAAACAATTCTGGATTTTGACTTTGGCTTCGTTTTGACTTCCCTGATTTACGGTACCCTTGACTTTTGGCTCTTCCTTATCGCTGTGTCTCGTTCTGTGTCCCTGACCTCGTTCTAGGGTGTGGTCCTATTCTGCGTGCCAGATTACTATAATCCTGACATTAGCTCAGTGGGTGTTGGGACTCACAGAAGACATCACATGCGACCGAAACTTTCTCTAATTTTGCTTATGTATTTAGATTCCGGTTAGGCATCTCTTCATCATAAGTTTGTGTTGGTAATTATTGGATTACTAGTTGGATACTTGGGAGTACGAGATTTCCGCTGTCTGGCTATTGAATTTTTTATGCATTGAAAATGTGATTATAGGGATTCTTGATGTCCTAAAACCCTCAGATGGAGCAGGTCTAGAAGGAAGCATTGGGGTTCTCGAGGGAGTTGAATGGATGCAAGCTTGTCAATTAGGGAATACACTTTTGACCAAAAAGGCTTGAGTTTAATGCAATCCCTCAAGACGTATTAGGGAACCTTTAGTGACCCTGCATCTCCAACATAAATCTGAGGAGGTAGGATAGATGTGGGCTAGGCATACGGTGTCAGACCCCCAACAGTTTGCAGCTTGTATCCCAGTGGTTCATGCATTTGGATACCCATTTCATAGCTGCTAATGCTCTTTTCCGTTCTTCTAAAGGGAATGCTATTTGGGAGGTCAGCTTTCCATTGTTGTAAAAATAAAATAAAAAAAATTTTTGAAATATTTTATCAATTTAGTATAGTGCAGGCAACCTTCGGCACTCCAGATGTTTTGGGGTACACCTCCCATGATACTTTGCCAGCATGATGGATGTAAGAGCATTATGGGGGATGTAGTCCACAACATCTGGTGTGCCGAAGGTTGCCTATCCCTGGTATAGTGCAATGTTTTAGACTCCCAAAACTCCTCTATTGATTGTCATCTTATGGAGTGTAGTGCTATTCATGGCGGTCTTTAACCCCTTAAGGACACATGACATGTCATGATTCCCTTTTATTCCAGAAGTTTGGTCCTTTAAGGGGTTAATAAAGTTTAGGGAAGCCAGCTGGGTCAGGTGTTGTGTTTTAGGAGTGTTTTTTTTATATATATATATATATATATATATATATATATATATATATATATAATCTCCATGTCCACTTCTTCAGGGCTGATTGGTGCATCTAAGTAGTCAGTGAGGGTAGGGAGGGGAACAGGAGATAGAAAGCTGTCAAGGTTGGCTTAAGAGGGGTTACTAATGTCCTCTGTCTCAGCAAGGTTATATAATGCTTAATAAAATGATTCAAATTTGTCTGCAATTGTGGCTGTTTGGTCACTTTGTCCCCTTTTATGGTTGAGGAGGAACACTTTTTTTCACTTTTCATTTTCAAGCGAGAAGTTTGCCTACTCAGTTACCTTGAGAGTAATACATCTGTTTAAGTCGGCACAAGGAGGGTTCCATATATTGGAGTTGCAAGGTCTGCAGCTGAGATCTGACACGAGTTTAACTAGTGTGGTGCATGGCTTGCATTTGTTAGCAGTCTCAACAGTCTGTAAAGATTGCAAGTGTTTTTTGTATTTCGCTGCATTTTTCTTCTCTCATTAAGCCTTGTTGAATAAGATGTGGCAGTGTATTCACATATCTACAGATAAGTGATTTATTCATGAGCCTCTACCTTTCTCTGAGAAAGTTGCAGTTGCTTTGGTGGGGGAGCACACGATTGCGAGTAGATCGGGGGGTGCAATTAACATCACCACAACGCGCCAGTTGTCTCTTGTGTAACTTTATTATTCTAGTGAGAGAGCGGTTGATATGACTGACTCATTTGGTGAGTAAAGTAAAGCGGACTCTTTCAATCATTTGCAACATTTATCGGAGTCCTCTGGCATTGGTAGAGTTTAGTTGGATAGAAGCAGCCATAATCTTGATTGGAGGTCAGTGTAGTACATCTTTGGACACTTCCCAAACAAGACCTCCTGAACCTGGCCATACGGTTTATCTTTTAAGGAGACCTTCTGAATGAGAGGGTCCAATGAGCTATCCAAAGGGTAATAGGTATGTGAGGGGGTTAGAGAGAAAGGGACCAGGAGATATAAAACAACCAACAAGCTAAAATATATACACAAATGTTGCATAAAAGCAATATACTAGAGTAATAGGAAGAAAGTGATTGACCAGGAGTATAAGAATTGGATGAAGAAACTTGAGATGTGGATAGGATTCAACATCAAGACTAAATATAGATGAGTAGGCCATATGGTAGCTACAGTCTAATGTCAATATTCATAAAAAGTAATCAACAAAAAACATGGATAACGCCATCATGTAGGTGTGCTGAGAACAAAATTATAGATTCCCACAGCATGTGTTCGCTTTTGTGCAACAGTAAAGCTGTGTTTTTTTTGTTTTTTTTTGATACAGAACCTAAGTGCAAAGCATTACAATGAGTGTGACAAAGTCTGTGTGGTTAGGTATATAGTACGAAGAGCAGCAAAAAACTAATTTAGTGTCTCAATCGAATTTAGCTTTGGCAATGCCCAACAAGGGCTGACTGTGAGAAAAAGCATTAGCACATTACCAGAGTATGAATAGTGGCAATTACGCTGGCCAACATTTGTTGGCATGGGAGTACTGAGGCTAACCATCCAAAGAGATGCAAAGTATCGGAACAAACATACTTGATGGGTGTAAGTTAATGTGAATAAAACCGGTGGCAGTCTCAATGCGAGAGTTCACTTGAGAGGAGTCAGGTTTGCAAATAAGATGTTCAGGTGACACCATGTCCTACTACTTCAGCAGACTGAGGCCTTTCAATGGGGCGAGCACCACCTTAGTTGCTTCATTCTTCCACATGAGAAGCTTAGTAGGATATCCCCACCTATAAGCAATGTTGTGGTTGGGCAGGAGTTTGGAGACATATATGATGCAAAACAAGGCTATGTTGCATATCTTTTTTTTTTTTATATATATATATATATATATATATATATATATATATATATATATATATATATATATTTATATTTATAACTGGTTTTAGTTATAAGAAAGATTGATGACAAGTTTCCTATAATTTAGCATCACCTTTGCGATGAGAGAAAATTGCACTGCCTGGGTCTTTTTGAAATGTCAATTCCTTATTTGGTTAAGCACCATGGAAGTGTTTCTTCAAACTACCCGATCCTGAACTTCCTGTTGGTTCGGAGCAATTTGAGATGACTAATTGCTAAAACATTTCACCCCCAATTACTAAAATGACATTCTTCCTACTACTAGAAACATCTTGTAAAGTCTATGTAATTCAGGGAACTTACCTAGGTACAACATAGAAACATAGAAACATAGAATGTGACGGCAGATAAGAACCACTCGGCCCATCTAGTCTGCCCAATTTTCTAAAAACTTTCATTAGTCCCTAGCCTTATCTTATAGTTAGGATAGCCTTATGCCTATCCCACGCATGCTTAAACTCCTTTACTGTGTTAACCTCTACCACTTCAGCTGGAAGGCTATTCCATGCATCCACTACCCTCTCAGTAAAGTAATACTTCCTGGTATTATTTTTAAACCTTTGTCCCTCTAATTTAAGACTATGTCCTCTTGTTGTGGTAGTTTTTCTTCTTTTAAATATAGTCTCCTCCTTTACTGTGTTGATTCCCTTTTATATATTTAAATGTTTCTATCATATCCCCCCTGTCTCGTCTTTCCTCCAAGCTATACATGTTAAGATCCTTTAACCTTTCCTGGTAAGTTTTATCCCGCAATCCATGAACCAGTTTAGTAGCCCTTCTCTGAACCCTCTCTAAGGTATCAATATCCTTCTGAAGATACGGTCTCCAATACTGTGTACAATACTCCAGTGAGGTCTCACCAGTGTTCTGTATAATGGCATGAGCACTTCCCTCTTTCTACTGCTAATACCTCTCCCTATACAACCAAGCATTCTGCTAGCATTTCCTGCTGCTCTATTACATTGTCTGCCTACCTTTAAGTCAATTATTACATGCACTTCCACAACATCCCTCCATTACATGATCAGTTCTTTCAAAGAGCAAAACTCTTTAAAAATCTGTATTGTACAGTGGATGATATCTGTAAATTATTCTCTGTAATGCACTGTATCAGGGACGCATTTTTTTAGTAGTAGGTACACGTCTATTTAGTGGGTTCAATTCCTGCCATTAAAGGAACACTAGCGTTAGGAATAGCCTTAGAGCCCTAGTTACCGTTTAAGTGACTAGGGCCTCGATCCACAGCAAATAAATGGTTAACCATTTATTTGCTTACCTTAATCCAGCACCTGGCTCCCTCTGCACTCGTGGCCTCTTATGAAGAAATCAAAGTTATTTATTTTACTTTATTCCATTCGGTAGCTGCAACTACCGAACAGAGACCACCCCCCCGCTTCATTAACTTCAAAGCGAACCATCATTTAATGCCTCTCCCTGGATGGCTGCCGTTCGTATTGTAAAACACCACGTGGCTGAGAAAGCGGCGGCCATCTTGTTTGTGCAAACAAAGGCAGCGGGACTTGGTCGTTGAGTGTCTGGAACTAAAATCGGACACTCTACTTCCTGAACACTGGTCCCAATGTGCGAACGTCTGCTACTTCGTTTCACGAACAGCTAGGAGAGCGCTGTTCGGTACTTTGGTTCATGCGAAGGAGGGGAACAATCGCTGCTAGGAGCCAGGGGAAACCGTTCAGGGATTTATTCGCTTTTTGGGACTTTTTGAACTAGACCGGCAAAACCAGTGGAACTGTTTTGGGCAGGAGCCTCGTGGGTAGCCGGTTACCTAAGACCTCCATGGAATTCGAAAACCCCTGAACTGATCTGGGTGATTTTTGGATATGTTGGTCACCCAGATCAGGGCAATCAGGGGATATGACTTTTGTGGGGATATCTTATGTTTTAGGGTACATTTCAAAGTTTGGGTAAAATTGTGAGTTTGCTGCCTGGAGATAACTAAAGCTGATAAAGTAATTTAATTATCTCCAGGGCAAGAGTAGGGAATTATATGTTTGTACTGGGAGTGTTTAAGTATTTCTCTGCTTATGATTGGCTGTATGATTTGTGTTCCTGTGGGAGGTCCCCTTGCATAAAAGCCAGTGTGGCATCATTAAACTTCAGTTCTGTTTTACCCTTCATCTAATGTTTAGGTACCTGTCTGCTTTACTGGGAGAATCTACTCGGGAAGCTTTTATTTTCGTATGAGAATCGCTTATTTTACCGAACAGCGAGTTATAATCACTCCTACTCTTGCCGTTCGGGAGGGAAATACCGAATGGGTATAGGATATACCAGGTTTCTTTACACCTCTCCATCAATATCAGTGGAGCCACATGCTCCTGAGAGGTGTGAGTGTATTCAAATCTGCCCATGGGGATCTTTTGTGATGTTGGACTCTGTGATGATGTTCAGCGTCAAATAAGTGCGATTTACGCCGTGTAAATTGCAGAAGCAGCCACTAGTGGCTGTCAGGGAGACAGTCACTAGAGGCTGGATTAACCATGTTTTCAGCTGCAGGGTTATAACGAGGGGGACCTGGCACGCAGACCACTTACTTGAGCTGAAGTGGTCTGGGTGCCTATAGTGGTCCTTTAATTCATATTTTATATCGAAATAGCCAAGAAGGTAAAAAGATGAATAAGAGTTTAGATTTTGCCTTAAACATACAATTCCATTATAGGTCTTACTGTAGTAAACAGCTTTCTTCTTAGACTCTAACAAAGAACTGTACACATTACATACCACACCTTTGCTTTCTTTTATCATCAACACTGTTAGAGGGTTTAGGTACTGTGAATTCCACACTGATCACCTTCACATTGAGAAAATGTAGGGCTCATCCAGGGTCCATTACATCTAGATGCCTGGTTAGATTAAAACCATTTGTTCTTATTTGTTGTTTAAGGATACCTTGGACTGTCTAAGCAATCACCCTATTAAAATATGAAATTAAAGGACCACTATAGTGCCCTCACCCTCAGGGACCCCCTCCCGCCCGGCTCTGCAAGGGGAAGAGGGGTAAAAACGTACCTTTTTCCAGCGCTGGGCAGAGAGCTCTCCTCCTCCGTTCCGCCCCGCCGGCTGAATGCGCACGCGCAGCAAGAGCTGCGCCCGCATTCAGCCGGTCACACAGGAAAGCATTCTCAATGCTTTCCTATGGACGCTGGCGTGCTCTCACTGTGAAAATCACAGTGAGAAGCACGCAAGCGTCTCTAGTGGCTGTCAATGAGACAGCCACTAGTGGATTAGGGGGGAAGCTTAACCCATTAATAAACATAGCAGTTTCTCTGAAACTGCTATGTTTATTTAAAAAAAAAAAATTAAAATAAAAATGGGTTAACCCTAGAAGGACCTGGCACCCAGACCACTTCATTAAGCTGAAGTGGTCTGGGTGCCTAGAGTGGTCCTTTAATTCTGCTCCATGACTGTGAGCTCATCTCTACTCGACAGTAGTAAATAGCTACTCTAAATGTTCACTATTAAACAGCCAGTAGCAGCTATAAAGTCTTGCCAGATTTACAATCTTTATTTTTAAACCGGGTGGCTGCCGATTGCATCTGTTCGCAAAGATTCAAACCTGTCGCAGTCGAGCAGCTTGTTAGTAAGGTACAGAAACACACGCTGTATAAGTTATCGTAGGAATCACACTTAAAGGACTACTATAGTGCCAGGAAAACACTCGTTTTCCTGGCACTATAGTGCCCTGAGGGTCCCCCTCCCGCACGGCTCTGGAAAGGGGTTTAAACTTACCTTTTTCCAGCGCTGGGCGGAAAGCTCTCCTCCTCCGTTCCGCCCCGTCGGCTGGCTACGCGCGCATTCAGCCAGTCGCATAGGAAAGGCTTAACCCATTAACAAACATAGCAGTTTCTCTGAAACTGCTATGTTTATTAGAAAATGGGTTAACCTTAGCTGGACCTGGCACCCAGACCACTTCATTAAGCTGAAGTGGTCTGGGTGCCTAGAGTGGTCCTTTAACCAAAAAGGAGAAGAAAAAAAAAAAAAAAACCTTCACTCAGCATGTGTATTTCGACATGTGTTTGGCTTTCGTAGGGGACAGCAACACTGTATATAAAATTCATTAATCTGATTTTGTGCTATGCCATATAAAATACCTATGTAACTTTTAAGGATCATTTTTGGTGGGTAAAGTTAGGTTTGTTTAGGGTTTCAATTAACTGCTATACAACAAAAATAGCTTTTTCTAGAATATAGCAGTTAACCTTTTTTGCACCAGGCCATCAACCTTTGTAAAATTACTAACAGCTGTAACAATTACCAGCAGTTGGATTAAAACATCAATCTCTCGAGAGGATAAAGCAGGCAAGAGAGTACAGCACTAACAAGGCTCCAGGCAAAGGAAGCTAGGAGCTAAAGATGATGCGCAGAATGAAGAAGGTACAGCCCAGAGGGACCACTTCAGCCAAGTACAAATAACTTCCCTTGCACCTCACAGCCAACAGAACATTACTGGAGATGTCAAGATCCTTGAAAAAAAGTGACAAATCACTCAAAAAAAAAAAAAAAATAAATAAATTAAAAAGCATTAATTGCATAGCTTTGATTGTTACATGCCGACCAATTCAGTTTTCAGTAAGGATCTAGCAATATTTATTTTCACAATCCTTAAGGCAAAAGAGAGGGGGGAAAAAAACCAGCATGTAATAAAGTAGTGTAATAGTTTTGTTTGTTTTTTTCCCCATTAAAGAAGAAGCACATGTGAGTTTACTTCAGCCTGTATGAATGACTGCACTTAAAATAATTTAATCTATATAGTTTAAAATAACTTTAAAATACTGAAAATAATTAGCATGAAGTTGGTGAATAATACTCTTTCCTAGAGGTCCATATGGGGCATGTGTAAAATATGAATTGATATGCCAATAAGATTAAGTAATATTATTCAAAATTCAACCTATATAGAGGCTTGTCAGCAAGGATCAAAACATTTCCAATTTTTCATTTTGTTACTTTCGGTGACTGACATGTCCAAAGTTTACATGATGCATCACCACATTTTTCTATTATTCATGGCTCAAAGCTGAATATTGCACGCAATATTATAGTGGTAAATAAGGGAACCACCCACGGTTACAGTAACAATACTGGTTACATGGACTGTTAACCACACAAAGACTTACTCTGCACTGTATTTGTGGGTGCAGGAAAGGCTAGGAACAGCCATATTTATACAATATCGCAAATATAGCTGCTCTTATTTGTTACAGTTAATTATAGTGTATACAGAAGATTTCATCCTCAGACAAACTGGTACAACACATGGGATAATGTAATTTAATAGTCGGACCTAATTTCCTTTGTGCAATAGATCTGGCTTGTATGACAGATTTACCCGATCTTTTCTTGTGTAGAAGGCAGTGTGTAATATTTAATTTAAAGTACAGACAATAGGGAATTAGTGGATTTTAAACATTGTCTGACCTAAAATACATGTATATGGCTGAAGGATCTGGTCACATTAAATTGAGAGATGAGTTTTTTGGAAAAAATGTAAATAAAAATGTTGCTGTACAGATGTCTACTTAGTTTTAAAAGAAATCTATTTCTTTTCAAAACTAGCTGAAAGATTATAAAAGATTATATTAAATAGATTTGAGGTGACAGCTATTATTTAAAATGAACACTCAACATACTATAACCACTACAGCCATAACCAGGTTGTCCTGATGCACTCCCAGGAGTATACTGTCAATCTATTTTAGAACGGTTGGAAAAATTACCTGGGTACCACTTTGAACCTGTGGCTGCGGTCCTGTATTGGATTCTTCTTGCAGGAGAATCCAGTTAGCTTCACTGAGCTAAGCAAGGTCATGCAGGACCACATTCAAAGAGCATCAGCTGAGAGCCATCAGTTAATGAGCAAGATCTTGTATTGGACACATTTATCTGTAGAAGATGACCATGTGGTGCGAGTGCCCGGAGGAACCAGGCAAGCTGTCAACCCATCATATAATTTGACAATTAACTCTGGGAGGGAGCCAAGGCACTCTTGGCCCCATAACCACTGTAGTGTCAATGATGCTTGTTCCTTCAATGTTTCCAAGTTAAATATGGATTTTAAAACACTTATTTTGTCAGGTAATTGGATATCATTTATATAATGGTCTACATAAAAAGGCACTCCGTACAACCATGCTGATGGATACATTTACCTAATAATTGCATAGGATGCCACTAAGACGACCACTAGAAATTGATATGAACATGCGCTTGTGAAATATTTCATACCCATGCTCACAGCATCCAACATAGCACATCACAACTGACAATAGCTGCCTTTTTACAAGAGATGAAATACCTCAATACACTTGCAAGCATTTGGCTGGCACTATGTACAAATAGCATCAGCAGTATAACAGATAAAGACCCTTTCTTGTTTGCCATAACAGTACAACTACACAATTTAAAATAAAAGATTTTTTTTCTTAATTCATCACCAAAATAATTTTTATTGTGCAATTCTCATCTAATGCACTAACAGCATTACAGAGATATAGTCCAAAACATCTGCAGTGCCAAATGAAACAGTTCTCAACCAGTTTGACACTTTCCTGGGTCCTTCAAATCTTCTATGATATTGCTAAAGCAGAAGTTCCCAGTCAGCTTTAAAAAATATCAATTCTGTCCAGAAGACAATCCTTACCCAATTAAATATGTTTAAAAGGTGAACAAAATAGATGCTGTTAAAATTGAATGGGAATTTCCGATTTAGCAATATCATTAGAAGGCCAGAACAGGAACACAAAGAACCCGGGTAAGTGTCAGACCTCTTGAAAAAATTTTGACACTCAGAATGCTCATTTAATGCAAAATAGTGGTTCCAAAATAGTGATTATTCAGCTCACACAGCTGAGGCAAGTATATTTCCCATATGTGTACGTTTGCCATTTGACAAAAATCAGGCAATGTTTACTCAGAAGAATATACTACAAGGAGTATTAAAAAAAAAAATGCCCAGTCCTTTCTATGGGTTATGATTTCTTGCCTCAGGTACACAATAGGCACATAAAGCATTTTTATGCTCTTTACACAAAACAACCACACACATATAGAACTGGTGTTCAATTAGACCTCATTTTTTAATATACCAATTTTCTGCCCCATCTAGTTTAATATTCATCCCATTAAAACACACCGCAGAAGGGGGCCGGGGCCTGACCACCATGCTGACCGGTCGCATGTCACAGAGGCTCCTGCTATATCCAACCTAAATAGCAATAATCATGGTCCTAAGGACACTAAGGGAACGGAGTTGCCCGCTCAACTGCATGGGTGAAGGTTGGCACTACCATAGACTCAGATCGGGCGTTTTGGGGCCCATGTGGTACAAAGCTTCGGAGCCTGCGGCCTAATCGGACAAGGAGCGGGGCAGACGGCCGCTGCCCTGCCTGCAAATACACCTCACAGGCCCCAGCCCCTCCACCGGAGGGAACCGAAGATCAGCCACCCACCCCCAACGGGGCACGCTCGGCGCCTGGGCACATGCTGTGCTCCACTACCAACATGGCGGCTCAAAGACCCACATCAGGCTACATACACGCTATACGCAATCAGTGGCACACCCAGAAGCAACTAACCTCAACTTTGGGGACTGCTGCAGGAGCTTCAACATCCACCTGCATCGTTCAGCCACCGCACCTAGAGTCTGGGCCTGGTCGCCACATCAGCCTTCTTGGGCCTTGAGCCCTTGGAGGACATCCCTCGAACCGCAGCCCACCACCTGGAGGGAACATACTTAACGGGAATTCCATTGCCGGCCAAATTAGGTACTGGAACCGAGGGCCCAAGCGGTCAGCTCATACAGAGCCCGGGGCTGGCGGTGTGATACGCACCAGACTTTCCCTCCCGTCGAGACTCCGCTCTTCTCACATCCAGGTCAGAGGCACAAACAACTGAAACCCGAAGACCCAGCAGCCCGGAAAGCATGCCGCCACTACCAGCCCGCTGACGCTGAACCCGGGGGACAGCAAGACTTCCCCAAAGTAAACTCCGGTGGACATTAAGCTTGTTTTATAATATGCATAACCCCACATGTGACCAGCATTACTTCTCATTAAGCTATGTCTACTATAACTACTAAGCTGGTCTGCACCCGGTTTTATGTTGAAAAGCACTTACTCACACACCGACATCCTGACCTTAAAGCAAGTATAATTAACCTTTGAGGTTTGTAGATATGCATGTCACCGTTACTAGAATGTACCGTTCAGTACCTCCTGTAGTACCTAATAGACGGGTCCCCTAATTACCCAACTCACTTAAACAGGTTATTACACAGCAATCCACATAGGATTAACCATAGCATGGTTAAGCCCACATTAATCATTTTACTTACTTAAGCAGAAATAAATGTTTAATGCCGCAAGCCTTTAGACCCCAATGTGACCCACCACATTAGACATGTTGATCCAGTATACACTCAGTCTAATACGTTTAAACAGGTACTGTTGATAAAGTAACAGCTCCAAGTCCACACCGACATAAGAACATGTCTCAGACTAATCAAATATCATCGGCAGACAAATCTTGTATTGCTTTTCCTTTCTCATATAACCTGTGCAAAGGTACTTGTAAGCATGTTTATAAAAACAAAAATTGTGCCGTACTTACTCATGCCATATACCGTCTACCTTGAGATGCTAGTGATTGCTATTGTGACATTACCAACACGCATGTACCTTTTATGCACTCAAAAATAAAGCACACACCGCGGAAGAGCTATATTGATTCTAAAGATAAGGCAAGGTATTTAATAGGTTACATTTCCTGGATCTGTACAATCAATGTTGTACTGAGCTCTCACAGATATATAAAGCAGCATTAATGTCTTCAAATTGTTAGCAATAACTGTATCAGGATGCCGGTTATCAAAATGATACAAAGGTCAAATTCCTTGCTCCAGTGCGGCTTAACCCCTAGATTGTCATGCACACACATTTCTCTGTAGAATTTGATGGTAATGGTGGTGAATAAAGGAACAATTCTAAAAAAATATATATATATATATAGTTCAGCAAGCTGGAGACAAATTAAGAAAAATCAAACGTTTATATTTCAGTTTCACGAAAAAAGTAAGAGTTGCAGGAGACAGCAGCAAAAATTAGAAAAAAAAAATTTTAAACAATTATTTACAACTTAGCAACACAAAACAAAAAAAAAAAACCCACACAGATTGGACCCTTCATAAAAAAAAACAGTATTACCCCTGATCCTCAGTTACAATGCTCTGAATTAGTCATCATGAAGTTGCTCTTCTTTCCATCACATGCAACGGAAGTAATTTCCACTTTACAAGGAATCACCCTCCTCCCCTTAGATAATGAAGGGTATATAGGAGAACATTTATTCTGCGCAGTAAATGCAACAGAGTAGAAAAATCACAAAACAAGTATTAAAACGGTATCCTATGTATTATCCTAGAGGTAGTAAAATTAAAAGACAAGCTCTTGCCATGTAGTGCGCTCCATATTTTAGTTTCAAGGATGAGCCGGATGTAAAAAATGTCCAGTGTTAATAAAAGCCTGCTAATCGTTCAACAAAATCATTTGGGTGGCAGAGTTATGAGCACACATTTCTAGCAGCTGAAGGCTTAAAGGAGTAAAGATTGATTTTCCTATCCCTCCCAGTTTATAATAAAAAAATAAATTAAAATTAAAAATAATGAATTGCAGAAAAGTTCTGGGTTTGATTTGCAAGGTCCCAGTTTGTAATTGGTGCAGCCACATATGCTGCAGTTTCTTTACAATCCCTTCTAACCCTAATCTGATCTTGATCTTAAAGCAACAGTAATCTTAGTACACACACTGCTGCAGAGCTAAGCAACTTAACATATGTACAGGTACACTGAGCCTTAGAAAAAGAATTGTGTGTGGAAAGGAATGATTAAGCAGTTACTTCCTTTCAACTTAGTTACCCACTTCACTTTAAAGTATTTGGGGATGTTTAAAAAGTAAGCAGTGTTTAACCTGTTCAGTAATAGGGGGCTTCATATTTTAAAGGCCTCTCCGGTAAGGCTGAAGGAGAAGTTACTCTAATGGTTTGCAGCAGGGGTGGTTAGAAAACAAAATTCTTAGCCTTTATAACTACAAAATTAAAAAAAACATTTTAAGGTGCGACAGACAATACAAAACAATAAGGAGCGCTCAATAAATGGGGATGTTTCATCCTATGAGGACCAGCTCACCAACCCCCCGTGACACTCTTGAGCATGTCTTTGATTTTGTATATGTTCCCCTGCTTTTTACAGTTATACCAGTAACATCCACACTTCCGAAGCTGCTCCTCCTTCATGTAAACATTATCCTGCATCCGCTAGAACATGCAGACAGGTTACAGCCCTAACAACCTGACTCCGTAGTGTCTCTAAAACCATCTTACAGTTCATAGGATTAATAACAAAGGGTTAACCCCTTAGCAGCTACAGGGTCCTGCAGAGCTCTGCAGCCCCCTGGCGGTAAAGAGGTTAACCGTGAGCAGCAGGAAGCTGCTGCACTACCTCCTCACTTGCCATCAAGCAGATATTTGCCAATCTGGCCACCAAGTGGGGGGGGGGGGGGGGAGTTGAGGGAGGGAGACTGGAGGAGGCAGGTCCAGACAAGCTCATGAGAAGCTCTGGATAGGGTGACTGACACGCATGCATGCCCAGTAGATGGCACGTCCAACACAAATCAAGGCGAAGAGGAACAACAGTGCCCAGGAGGCGTAGATTCCACCATAACGGCGTGCCAATGTCCACGTACCAGCCTGTGTTAGAGAGAAGAAATGTCAATTTCAACTGCATCTATGCCAAGCCCACTCCCCAAGATACAAAGTAGTATGCATAGTGTCCCAATGGTTGACATCAAACTAATGTTGGTTGTTTAGAGACTATTCATTATGAGAGAGCAGCAGTACCAGATAGAGGTGGGAATTAACGTATCCCATGTTCTTAGAGGCAAAAAGAGTGATTTCCTTTTTCTGTAGTATTTTCTTATTGTTGAACAGAGAAATAAGAAAGTGTCTATGCCACGTTCCACGGATTCACTTACTATAATGTGAGGAATCCGTATTAAATAAAAAAAATATATAGATCACTTGAATCAATGAGACCAGTTACAAAATGCAGTGAGCATTAAACGGTATACAAAGTCCATTTTAAAGCACTCACCACAAGTCCTGCTGCAGCAACAGCCAAGATAAATCCCATTAAGAAGCAGCAGACACACCTTTTCCTTGGATAGCGTAGGCCAATGGAAGAGCTAATACACACACACACACACACACAAAAAAAATATATATTTTTTTTTAAATAAAAATAAAAATGGTTGAGACAAAGTCCTGTGAACAACTCCTCCCCACTAGTGTAATTCACCATACTTACACTTTACGACAGTGTGGGCAGCGGGCCAATGTCCGGTCTGTAAACTCTGTCCACTAAGAAAGTAATAAAGTAGGAAATTAAAATCAGGATGCCACAGCAAGTTCTATGGTGCGAACCATAACATATCAAAAGAAAACAATTCTACCCAGAAGAGCAAGACAAATAGTTCACTAAACTAAGAATTATGAAGAACCTGAAAAAAGGAATTTCAAAGTGTAGGACAGTATAGCAGAGTGGACAAAAAAAAAAAAAAAACACCTTTTTTCATAGGTTTCTCTGAAATGTGTCCACAAGTCTGTTTTGCAATTAACTCTAGATGCCCAGCATCATCTAATCTTAAATTGTACCTTACCAGGAAATTGTTCTTGCAGTGTCCACAGATGACTCGCACCCCTACAGGTTGTGGTTCTGGACTGAGCGGTCCAGCATGCACAGGCCCCAAGTTTATTATACGCTTACTGTAGAAGATTAAAAAAAAAAAAAAAAAGCGTAAGAGAGAGAAGTTTTATTATACAATTATATATTAATCACACCTTTGACACCAATCCATCATGTTAAAAAATTAGGGATTGACCGATTATCGGTTTTACCGATATAATTGGCCGATATTCTTTATTTTCGGCAATATCGTATCGGCCAATATAGATACCGATATTGCCGATAATACCTCCTAGGACCGCCAGGCTCATTACAAGCCCGGCGGTCCTGGGGGGGGCCACAGGTAGCGTTTACTTACCTCCCCTGCAGCTCCTCCAGCTCCAAGTGAAAATCTCGCGAGACCCGCGGCCGTCAGAGCGTTGCCACGGGTTACCATGGCAACGCTCTGCGCGGCACTAAGGGCCGCGAGATTTACACTGGGAGCTGGAGGAGCTGCAGGGGAGGTAAGTAAACGCTACCTGCGGCCCCCCCCAGCTCAGCCAATGCCACTGGACCATCAGGGACTGTCATATCCCCCCTCCCTGACCAGGTAACAAGCAGGGAGGGGGGGACAACAAAAATAATAAAACCCCCTGGCCTCCCTCAGAGGTAAAGTTACAACAGCACCGTATTAAAGTTACAACAGCACCGTATAAGACCCGACGCATACAGGGACTGGTGACACGGGGGAGGAGGAGAGGGGGCAACTCACCCATGGGGGCGTACCCTGAGACCTCCTAATTAGCCTAGACTACAGCTACATTACCTCTAGACCGCAGCAGGAAAAGAAAAATAAGTCAACCAAATAAACGAAAACAGACGAACCACTACCACACACACACAAACAGGTAAACGCCAGACCACGCAATAAAACACTCACAAACACCCTGACCATGGCCAAGGACGATACGGCCCAATTTGGAGTAACAAAGGACCGAAAGAGGGGTGACACACCCCTCTCCCAGCCCCACCCATACCCTGAGACCCTAAGCCCGATCCACACGCAGACCTACGACACGAGAGAATTGACCACACTGACAATCACGAGACGATAGCAAAACTCAGAAATACAATCCTAGGCTTATGTAAGAGCGTATTGAAACATTCCTGCACTTTGTCAACTGAAAACTGAAAAGTAAACCACTAAAGTCAAAGTCAAATACCCCGATACCGGTATTGGGGACTTACAATCCCGCATCTGAATGACGTGACCATGATGTACACCTTGCTAAGAGACCTGCGAGTCTCCTTACCACTGAAGTTGACGCAGAGATTTGCATATCTCAATGTATAATAGGCTCCTACAAGTATAAGAAACCTGCGAGTTTCACAATGTTTAACAACCAACTGCATTTTACAACATGATAAAACCATAATAAAGAAATTTACAAAAAAAATAAAAATAATAAAACATACATTTTAAAATAAGCATAAAAAATAAACAAATATAAAAAATGTAAACATAAATATTAAAAAATAAAATAAAACCATAAAAATGTAAATTAAAAAAAAATGCCTCCCCCCCATTTTACACAAAATCACATCCCTTCAGGAAAACACACACACACTACACACTCTGTATATAACGCAGAGTGTGTATATAGTGTAGTGTGTCTATATAATTTAGTGTGTGTGTGTTTAATACACACACTGCATTATATACACACACTACAAATACTGCATCATATATACACACAGACACACTACACACTCTATTTATTATATACACACTATACAAACACACTGAATTCACTATACGCACTTTACACACACTACACAAACACACACTCTGCATTCATTATATACACACTATACAGTCACTGCATTAACTATACACACTACACAAACACACCCTGCATTCATTATTATATATATATATATATATATATATATATATATATATATATATATATACACATACATACATACATACATACATACATACATATATATATATATATACATACATACACACACACACACACTACACAAATATAAACAGCTCCACTGTCTAAACACACTGCATCCAGTGCATGTGGCTTTTATATTTTGTGCATTTACCTTTTAGAAATAGTTTATTTTTTCAAAATGGTAAATGTACAGAATATCGGCAAGTTATCGGCTATCGGCCTGAAAGTTAACAGATTATCTGTATCGGCTCTAAAAAAAAAAAAAAAATATCAATATAGGTCGATCCCTAAAAAAAAATATAAGTGGGTGACATGTCTCGTCCTTAAATGAAAATTAGTTTTTTAGTCCTTTTTTAATGTATTCAGTCACTACACCGCTTCCATACGAAACTCACCAATATGGTCGAGGACAGGCTATCCTCTGAGATGTGACCTTACAGATCAACAGACAGTTGCAGGGACAGCGCACGTATTTCTTCCCCTGGGGAGCATTCTTTATGGGCTGCAGAAAGTATAGAATACAATGATTAGAGAGTTTGATCAGCTACTTTGCATCCCCCCTTTTACATGAATCCTGTCCTGTAACTCACAGTTGCCTCATTGCACACTCCACACTTCACCACATGTTGATGCATTTTTCCTTCCACATTAATGAGTGACTGGCACACTCTACAAGTTATCATGGGGGCAGAACCGCTTTCTGGGCTAGTAAGAGGGGAATATGGAGGTGGGTCCTCTGTGGGCAACACTGAGCCCTGGCCTGCTGGGAACACAGGAAACCCTGAAAAAAGGAGTGTGAAATTAGAACACAAATAGCTGAGTCAATTAAGATGGGTGAAAGGCATAAATACGAATGATCTATGTTGGAAGAAATTATACAACATGACTTTGAGGTTATATGGAATCTTCCTTCAAATAAACCTTGGTATATATGTACACAGTTATCAAAACAAACAGAAGTACATACATAAATCTATTTGCATGCTCATTGAACTGAGTAATGTTCACTTACTCCTCCAGTTCCTGCATTGTCAAGGTTGGTCATCATCATCCATATCCATCATGTAATTTTCAGCACTTTACAATTATGTAGTGGGGGTTACATAACAAGCACTTGACAAAAATAAAGTTCAGAGAACTCAATGTGTGAATTGTCAGGAATTCAAAGTGAACTTCAGATTTAAAGGAACCCTCAGTGCACCACATAACAATAAAAATTCAGTTGTTATGGTGGTAGATGGTTTCTGGTGCTCGTTTACCTATTAGGGGCTAAATTACATGTGCAAAAAAAATAATCATCCAGTGATCGACATTTCGACCCCATCTTGAAAAAGGCCCTATAGAGGTCGAAACGTCGATCACTGGATGATTATTTTTTTGCACATGTAATTTGCAGTTGAAATAAATTAAGCACTTTTTAAGACCTGAGAGTGCACCTTATTTGCAATATAATATAAATATATATATATATAAATAAATAAATATAAAACAAAAGGGGGTTGGCTGCACTCACCTTCACATGCATAAATGGGGGTGCTGCTGGGGGCCAAATAATACAATACACAAGATCCAGCGCACTCACCTATCCACTAAACAGCAACTTCAATGTTGAAAGATTTTATTTGTTTTTTTAAAAACACCTAATCTAGGCAAAAATAATGGGGGTTTAGTTACATTATATGATCATACATTGCATAAGCCTGCCACAGCGTCAATGTACCCCATCTTTGGCAGGTCCTACACTAACAGCCTAATGTCTGCTCTTATGAGATTAACCTACTTGGGGAAAAAATTCCATCTGGGGCTCTCTGCAGTACAAGGCTAAATAGGGCCCTGGGATGAGGCACCTGTGACAGGGAGGGGTGCAAAACCAAGGAGTTGGCTAGACTCCCAAATATATATAAAACAAGAGGGGGTTGGCTGCACTCACCTTAACATGAGTGCAGCCAACCCCCTTTTGTTTTATATATATTTGGGAGTCTAGCCAACTCCTTGGTTTTGCACCCCTCCCTGTCACAGGTGCCTCATCCCAGGGCCCTATTTAGCCTTGTACTGCAGAGAGCCCCAGATGGAATTTTTTTTCCCCAAGTAGGTTAATCTCATAAGAGCAGACATTAGGCTGCTAGTGTAGGACCTGCCAAAGATGGGGTACATTGACGTTGTGGCAGGCTTATGCAATGTATGATCATATAATGTAACTAAACCCCCATTATTTTTGCCTAGATTAGGTGTTTTTTAAAAAACAAATAAAATCTTTCAACATTGAAGTTGCTGTTTAGTGGATAGGTGAGTGCGCTGGATCTTGTGTAATATATATATATATATATATATATATATATATATAAAAATTTCTTCTTTTCTCTAAAACAGAATAAAAAGTTTCGATGGAGGGGGGGCGCACAGCCTGGCTACCGAGCAGACTAGACAGGGGTTGCATGAGCTCCCTGCGTCTGGCACCTTAAAAGCGATATTTCCGAATCAAAACTTATCTGGACGCAGAGCACAACTACGCTTGTTCCTGAAACGACCGTGGTGTTGGGGATTATCTCGGCAAAGGAGAAGTGTTCACTAACACAGATTTGTGAACAATATTTGAGAGAAATAGGCCTTTTGTGTACATAGAAAAAAAAAGTCTTAGATCTTTGAGTTCAGCTCGTGAAAAATGGGGGCAAAAACAAAAAGTGTTATAATTTTGTTCAGTGTATATACAGCAAATCCTAATGCTTTTACAAGGAGATCTCCTTGGTACTCCTCGTGTTAGCACTCTCCGGTGTGTCCACTATTTGAAGTTTTTTCAGAAAGTGGACGAACTGGAAGATCATACATGGATTAAAAGGGTTGTACCACTGAAAGGCTCCCCATATATACGTGAAACATGACTGGAACCTTTCAACACCTAATACCTGTGGCCATCGGGAGTGAACTTTGTCTCCTCATCTCAAAACTTGTGAGTTTGTTCCAAGTTGGGAGAAATATTGTTGATTACTCTAATCCTAATATTTACACTGTCTTTCAGCTCAGATAGCTGATAAATAATATAGTCATAAAAACTAAGATCTAATTAATAACTTTTTTTTTTTTTTTTTTTTATAGAGTGAACATTTTTTTTCCTTTTGCGCTTTTTAGGCTTCATCGACCAAATTGCCATTTATCCGCAAGACCACAAACGGGGTTCCGCCAAGATTTCGGTGGGAAAAATGGCAGGGGAGAGTGCTCCCTCGCCACCCACCTCAATTAATGCGGTGCGCACATCAGTTATGCCGGAGCTGCAATATGACATCACTCCGGCATCACTAAGAGGCGCGCGATTGAGTTGAGCAGGAAGATCACTGCTCCCTACACGCATGGACTCTAGGGACTGCATGCCAGCCGCTCAGTCCAGCCACCCCACTGGACCCCAGGGACTGCACGCCAGCCGCTCAGTCCAGCCACCCCACTGGACCCCAGGGACTGCACGCCAGCCGCTCAGCCCAGCAGCCCCACTGGACCCCATGGACTTGTTCATGTTTTAAGCCCACCCTAGAGAAATAGAGACTCCATGCCAGCCCTCCCAAAGGTAGGGAGGCTGGGTGGAGTGAAATGTAAAAATAAATTGTGTGTGTCTTTTAAGGATTTTGTATGCGTGCTAGTCAGTGAGAGAGTGTGTATGCCTGCTAGTCAGTGAGAGAGTGTGTATGCCTGCTTGTCAGTGAGAGAGTGTGTATGCCTGCTTGTCAGTGAGAGAGTGTGTATGCCTGCTTGTCAGTGAGAGAGTGTGTATGCCTGCCTGTCAAAGAGTATGGGTATCTGAGTGTGTGTGTGCACCAGTGTGTGTCAGTGTATGTATCAGAGTGTGTGTATGTGTGTCAGATAGATACATACATACACACACACACACACACACACACACACATATACAAACACAGATACACAGCTTGACACAAATACATGCACACACACAGATACACACTGTGTATCTGCGTGCCTCTATGTGCTGTGTGTGTCAGATTCATACACACTGGCACATACAAACACAGATACACACACACACAGTGTGTCAAGGTCTGTGTATATCTGTGTGCGTGTGTCACAGGGGGATTAATTGGAAACCCCTGCTGCCACTGTCAGCCAAACAGCAGCACTCCATGACCTGTCTGGAGAATCTGAGAGCAGCCAAAAGACAGTGGCACAGCCAAACAATGCTGGATAGAATACTGTGGGCTTAAACCATGAACAACTGAGCCACTAAAGGGAAGCTGATTCCAGAGACCTATTGACAACATAACTTTATTCCTACGTTAGGTTTCTCTTTAAGGCCAAAATTCTCCAAGCTAGATTTTCAGTTTGGCAATTGATCTAAAATTTGCAGCTCATTTTGAGTATCTTAAAATTCACATGATAGTGAATAATCTTAAAATGCAGGGATAAATAAATACACACTTAGAAGTTTGTCTCAGTGGACATTAAAATCATGGGACAATTTCCAGGATCTGCATTATAACACTGTTGAACATTCACACAACTGTAGCATCCATACTATGGTAACTACCTGAACTCACAACGTTTGTTAAACAAATACACACTGTTCTCTAGTGTAGGGATAGACATCCTTTGACACTGCAGATTTTGTGGACTAAATCTCCCTTGAAGCTTTGCCAGCATTATAGCTGCAAGAGCATTATGGAAGATGTAGTTCACAGCATCTGGAGTTCCGAAGATTGCCTACTACAGCTATAGGGTTTAAATGATCTGTTTAATAAGCCTGAACCAAGAATTTGCAATTGCAGCTTTAAACTTCCCTTGGAAGAAAAGGCAGGCAAGTGATTAACCAAGGTAAGGCCTGTTTAGCGGTGAAGTAAGATGTATCATAGTTTAAAATAAATTTTTTGTTCCACAATCAGCAAGCACTTTCATCATATGACTGCTTTTCCATGAAACACAGCAATATAATACCAGGTATATGATGAGTTCATCAAGATAAGAAAAGTGAGAGTGCAAAGTGAATTTCTTTACACCATACACATGAATATTATCTTTACACCGCCGATACTGTTGATAATGCATCCTAGTAAATGTCTTCTCCAATATCCTCTGGATCCCATTCAGGACTGGACTACTACCAAATAAGCACACACCCGCCCCCACATGGAAAGTAGTCAAGCCATTGAAAAGGTTTAACTTATCTGAGACGCATTGGGTGAAAATACTTCCCACAAAGAGCTGGAAACTCTTCCATTATTAGTCCTCCTGAAACTAAACCCTGTAATGAATGGCCAGCTCATAGGCAGAAAGCATCAGCAGACCCTTCTTCTGATCCAAGCCCTGTCAGTCTTAGCTCAGATAAAACACTTCCAATTCAATGTATACTGCAGTGAGTTCCTTCTGCCCCTTTTATGCTAAATGCTCACTGTACATGTACTATCACAAAACACATGCTCTTAGACTAACAAGGCACATTTGAGTTGGTCAAAAAAAGGAAAAAGAAACGGGACATATGAGCTAATATATTATATATGGTTACTTCCATAAGTGTAAGCAGTCAGGAACACAAAGTTAAATTTAAAATAGTTAGACAAAAATAGAGCAAAACTAAACTAATAATACAACTAACTACAGCTTTTCCAATTCATGTATTGTGTACTACAATTTCACTTTGAATTCCTAACAATTCACACTTGATTCAAAAGATCTACTAATAAGATATCCCTGACAATAATAATGAAATTTAAAAAAATAAAAAAAAGTCTGCCATGCGCTGCTAGGCCATTGGTCCTATTATAGGATAGGCATTATTATAAAACAAATCTACCATATGGTGTTACACTAACAGGACACATTATCAGATACACAGAACATGCTATGAAACAAAAAGTTAAATCTAGCATATGAAGTTAGGACAACAAGGCACAGCATGTGATATACACAATAAATAAACAATTCACTATATGGAGTTATATTTTTGATTGTGTGTATCACATACTGTGCACAATGAATAGAACATTCACTAGATGGAGTTAAATGATTATAACTGGTATTTATTTAGCGCCAGCATATTCTGTAGCGCTTTACATCATCTTAAAATGGGGAGATTTAACAATAAATTAGAATTATAAAAACTTACAGGAACAATAGGGTGAAGAGGGCCCTGCCCAAACAAGCTTGCAGTCTATAGGAGGTGGGGTGTAAAACCCAACAGGACAGGAGTGGAGTGAAGCAGAGCTGGAGGAGAGAATAGAGTCTCTAGGAAACAGGAAGCCAATGTAAGGACTGACAGAGGAGAGAGGAGCGACAGGAGAGGAAAATCAGTCTAGCTGCAGCATTCATTACAGACTGTAGCTGGGCAATACGATTTGTGGGAAAACCAATTAGAAGAGAGTTACAATAATCCATGCGAGAGATTACTAGAGGATGGACAAGTTCCTTAATAGCGTCTTGTGTAAAAAAGAGGCGGATGTGGGATGTTTTTAAGATAGAATCTACAGGATTTGGTAACAGAATCAAGTATAACGCCAAGACAGCGCGCTTGCAAGGATGGACTGACGTGGGTACCACTCGAAGGGAGAGTGAAAGAGGGGGATCAGTATTAGGAGTAGGACAGACAAGGAGTTCAGTTTAGAGAGATTGAGTTTCAAAAAGCGGGAGGACATCCAATCAGATGGTAGAAAGGCAAGCAGTGACACGTTGCTGGACGGCATATGAGAAGTATATCTGAGTGTCATCAGCGTACAGCTGGTATTGGAATCCAAATGAGGTAATACGTTTGCCAAGAGAGGCAGTGTAAAGAGAAAATAGAAGGGGACCAAGTAAAGAGCCTTGTGGGTCTCCAACAGAGACAGGATGAAAGGGGGGGGGGGGAGGAATCTTTAGAAAAGGAGACACTGAATGAGCGTTGGGAGAGATAGGAGGAAAACAGAGAGGACAGTGTCACAGAGAGTGAGCAAAGAGTTTGGAGAAGGATGGCCAACAGTGTCAAAAGGAGCAGAGAGGTCAAGAAGAATTAGTATAGAGTAGTGCCCTTTGGATTTAGCTGTGATTAGGTTGTTAGTGACTTAAATAAGAGCAGTCTCAGTAGAGTGGAGAGGGCGGAAGCCAGACGGAAGAGGGTCAATGAAAAACTTGGAATTCAGGAAGTGAGACAAGTCTTTCCAGAAGCTTTGAGGAAAAAGGGAGCAGGGATATAGGACGATAGTTAGAAGGGGAGGATGGGTCAAGAGATTAGTTTATTTTTAAGATGGGTACTACAATAGCATGTTTAAGGGCAGCAGAGATAACACCAGAAGATAGAGAGAGCAGTTTAAGATGTGGGTTAAGGAAGGCACAAGACAAGAGGAGAGAGATCTGATAATGCGAGATGGTACAGGATCAAGTGGTGGGTCGAGAGGGAAGGAGAAGCACAGCCACCTCTTGGTTTAGTAACTGGGAGAAAGTCTGAAGGGTAGGAAAGGCATGATCTACGTGTGGTTGAGAAAGAGAGGGGCAAGGCGGGGAGAATGGCTTCCTTAGCTGTCTTATCTTGTCGGTAAAGGAGCATGCAAAGCTATTGGCTGTAAGGTTAGTTTGGAGAATGGCCATGGCAGCACCAAGTAGGGAATTAAAGGTATTAAAAAGACGCCTGGGATTGCGGGAGCATGAGCTAATGAGGGAGGAAAAGTATGACTGGCGAGGGCTGTGCTGTATGAATGTAACCTGAATTTATAATGGAGGAAGTCACAATGGGTGTATCTCTGCAGGTATATTGGTGATAGTGCACAGTATGTGATACACATGGTGCGGTGTTAGGCTGATGATTAGGTATATGGGGGTCATGTGACACACAATAGGTAGGTTAAAGGTAGGTGCCCGCTCCGGCCCAGCCCATTGGCTGTTTCCCAGACAGTCTCCTCACTTCCCAAACATCGGCAGTCTGTAGCCCCGCCCATGGGGCGTGTCACACGGCTCGTGCAACCGCTCACTCCATCCAGGCTGGGCGGGGCCTCATTAATAATGCAGTGAGTGGGCGTTAACTACCTTGCGGCTTGTTGCTGGAGGTGGGACCGGGAACATCGTATTGAGGGGCTGTGGGAACAACGCTACCCGGAGAGGGCGTCCCGGACCCCAACGTCGTCCCCATGCCGCTTCCATCGCCAAGATCCGACAGGAGAGGGGAGCGCTCTCCATCCGCCATGTCCTACGCTCCCAACTAACACCGGCGAGTGGCTTTCAGCTGCTGCGCCTCTCGTCTGCTGACGCACCTCGTACTGCGGCTGCGCGGTGAGCATGCGCCGCTAATAGGAGTGCCGTACTGCGCGTGCGCGAGGGGCCGTCCCTTTAGCTTCACGTGCTCCTACAGCTGGAGCTGAAACAATCCTCTCACGTGATAAACACTGAGAGCTTTTTTTTTTTCTTCTTCAAGTAACTTAATGCGAAGGACAAAAACAATATCCAAGTCCCATCTCCTACCTTGGTTATAAAAGAAAGAATCTACTCGGGGGGGTTATAAGTACTGAACAGGAGAGCCAGCATATATGTGTCTGCATAGTTCGTTTTGCTAGACCCATTGTTGAGGTTTGATGGACTCATGCCAGTTCATTATTATGCTGTACAGTAAATGAAAGGTAGTCACCACCACATTCAACTACTGTATACAAAGCTATAGCATCACTACATAGTGCACTCTCACATTTTGTATTTATCCTGTGGTTTATTCACCTGTCTCTCTTCCATCTCTCACATCGTTTTTTGCCTTTTTTTTAGTGCACTTAAAAATATATTTATATATAGTCCTTCTCAATCTATCTCCCTGCAAGTCAGTAGGACACCTATTACCACAACCCCTCAACTTCGTTGCCTTGAAGTTACTTTTTACTCAGGTCTTTCTCAGCCAACTCAGTCTGTTTCCAAATCGTGTAATTTTAACTCTAAGGGAACACTATAGTCACCAAAACAACTTTAGCTTAATGAAGCAGTTTTAGTGTACAGATAAGGCCCCTGAAGTTTCACTGCTCAATTTTCTGCCATTTAGGAGTTAAATCACTTTTGTTTCTGTTTATGCAGCCATAGTGTGAGGGAATATATCTTGATTCCAATGTTCAGCATAATTAAATTAAGACCTACATCTAATGCTCTTAATATGTAACGAACTTTTTCTCTGTAAAATGCTGTATACGTGTCAGCATAACTTGCGTTCTCTGTGTAGAGAAACTCCTATGTTTACACTTGGGCTAATCCAGCCTCTAGTGGCTGTCTCATTAAAAATACTAAGACACATAATAAAACACATTATTCCTGAAATCCTCATTTTTCTTCGACCGTGGGATGGCCCCTCAGCTTCCCGATTGTGAGGGCTGCAAGGGTGTTGTTCTTCTGATCCTCACTTTCCTTTACAGAGATCCCTTCGAGACACTCTGGCTATGACACGTAGGCAGGTGGTCAGGCTTTATTATGGCCGTCAAAACACCTACTTTGCTGGTCTCTATAGTTACTCTAGATGTCACAATATCTCCTCGTCAATCCGACTGAGTTGCACGCTTCAACCGGAACTTGCAAGGATTCTCAGGATCTGGGATAGCTTGCCAAGAGTCTGCTGCTGGTTTAACCCTAGAATTATGAATCCACGGAGTCACCTCTGCCACCTTTATAGCTGTTGGGGTAGATAAAAGAACAACATAAGGACCCCTCCACTTTGGACCTAATGGAACAATATTCCATTCTTTTATCCACACTTGATCTCCTGGTTGATATATGTTCACAGGTAACCTATCTTGCACCCATTTCTGCACCTCCTCCATAGTTTTACCCAACTCTACAACCTGCTGCCGAGTAATTCCTTCACCCAACTGATTTAAGTTTTCTTTCAGGTCCCATCATTCTTTGACCTTCGGATATATGGAATCCTAAATATCTAACACTTGGCTGGCACAATTGTGCTTTCTTCCTCGATACCTTGTATCCTGCTCTCCATAGAATATGAAGCAAATCATAAGTGGCTTGTTGGCATATCTCTTTAGTAACAGCTGCTATCAATAGATCATCCACATATTGAAGTAGTACTCATTCTCCTGGGATGGACTTGAAATCTTGCAAATCCTGGCTTAATGCGGATCCAAATAGGGTAGGTGTCACGGTCCACGCCGTGACATCCAGTCTGCCAGACGTGGTCGCTCTGGAAGCGCCCGATAGGGGATTTGAACTGTGGTTCTTCTGGACCATATCCTGCTGTTCTTCCTCTGAGCCATTTCAGGACTTTGGATAACTCCCTGTTTATTCTTGTATTGCCTGCAGCACCAGGGGGCTGGACTTCACCAAAGGCTCTGATCTGTCAGTAACTCTCCAGCTGAATCTGATCCTAATTAACAGGATATAAAAGCCTGCCTCACCCTGGGAGGGGTGTCAGTTCATTGACTCTGGTTCCCTTGTTTGGTTCCTGTTACTCTGTACCTGCGTTCCAGTGATTCTTGTCTATTCCGGCTTCTGACCTTGGCTTTCCTCCTGGACTACTCTGACCTCTGGCTTCCTTGATTTTGGCTTCCCTTGACCACGCTTCTGCTTATCCCTGTTGTACTGAGACTTGGAGCACTTTTCCTGGAAAGCCCCCGTGCACAGACTCACAGGCCAGGTGGCGTCTTACCTGGTCACCCTGGTCTGTGTCTACTTTGCAAGGGTGAGCGTATAACTCTGCGAGCTGGACTCCCTATCAGGTAAGACTCCGTTACAGATGAACTGACCATGGAGTCTGCAGAGTTATACAAGTTACTCACCTCCCTGGCCGAGCAAGTCTCCAACCTGTCCCAGAATGTTACAGAATTGCAGAGACATTCATTGGCATTGAAAGGAGCAACGCTTGCAGTCCCGGAACATGTATGCCCAGAACCGTATGTCTTTATGCCTGACAGGTTCGACGGTTCCCGTTCTGCTTTTCCGATGTTCAAGACGGATTGTGAGCTACTATTTGCCCTGAAATCGAGAACCTACGCCACCGACTTTATCAAAGTACGCTCCGCTATTAACCTATGTACCGGGCGAATTAAGGCGTGGGCACACCAGAAGTTGCAGGAGAGAAGTACTGTCTTGGACTCCTGGGAGTTGTTTATGTCCGCAATGGATTCTCAGTGTTTTGCAGCAAGAAAAGCAACTTCCAAACCCATTTCAGGTCCTCGCAGAACCCGGTTGCCTAGAGAAGAGGAATTGTTTTATGGATACAAAAATCCCATCATGTTGCAGCATGAACCCACTTTCAGGGACCCGCCTTGTAACCCTGTTTACACTCGAGCTAGCAGTGAAACTCCAGTCGACATGGAGGAACCCATGGAGATTGGCTTCACCAGGACTAGATTGTCCCCTAAGGAAAAAGACCGCAGGAGAGCCCATGGTCTATGTCTATACTGTGGGAAAAGAGGGCATTTCATATTGCTTTGCCCGACTCGTCCACCTAGGCCAAGACCCCTTCTGTCTGGTGCCATATGGACTTACCCTGTCATCCCAGCAAGACAGCCTGGACACTGCCAGCCCTGTCCCCGTCCTGTGACACAAAAGGGTACCCAAACTAATACTGTTAATGTTACCAGTACCTCTGTGGAAACTTCACCTCTTGCTCTAGAAAAATTTGGACCTCTTCCTGATGACACTTCTGTACAAGCAAGCACCATCACCACTTCCTGCCTTGCCAAAACAGTTCTGCCTCCTGACTGCACCTATGCATCAAATGGCACAGTTGTGTGTAAACAAGATCTAGAAGTATTCGAAAAAGCTTTGAAAGCTGCAAATGTCTTCCCATTAGCACCCGAAACTGGTACCATAAAGTCCCAGTCTGTAGACTTTGATTACAAAGACTCTTAGTGATACTGAAGAGTACCATTTCCAGGAAGAGCCTGTTCACGCCCGGAGGGCATTCTTGACGGGGGCGTACTGTCACGGTCCACGCCGTGACATCCAGTCTGCCAGACGTGGTCGCTCTGGAAGCGCCCGATAGGGGATTTGAACTGTGGTTCTTCTGGACCATATCCTGCTGTTCTTCCTCTGAGCCATTTCAGGACTTTGGATAACTCCCTGTTTATTCTTGTATTGCCTGCAGCACCAGGGGGCTGGACTTCACCAAAGGCTCTGATCTGTCAGTAACTCTCCAGCTGAATCTGATCCTAATTAACAGGATATAAAAGCCTGCCTCACCCTGGGAGGGGTGTCAGTTCATTGACTCTGGTTCCCTTGTTTGGTTCCTGTTACTCTGTACCTGCGTTCCAGTGATTCTTGTCTATTCCGGCTTCTGACCTTGGCTTTCCTCCTGGACTACTCTGACCTCTGGCTTCCTTGATTTTGGCTTCCCTTGACCACGCTTCTGCTTATCCCTGTTGTACTGAGACTTGGAGCACTTTTCCTGGAAAGCCCCCGTGCACAGACTCACAGGCCAGGTGGCGTCTTACCTGGTCACCCTGGTCTGTGTCTACTTTGCAAGGGTGAGCGTATAACTCTGCGAGCTGGACTCCCTATCAGGTAAGACTCCGTTACAGTAGGTGAATTCTTGAACCCTTGAGATAGTCTGGTCCCGGTCATCTGACACTTTGAACCTGTAACAGCATCTTCCCATTGGAAAGCAAAGATATGTTGACTCTCAGCAGCAATTCGAAGACAAAAGAAAGCATCGTTAAGATCTAACACTGTGAAGTAGGTTGCCCCACCTGCTATCAAGGCAAACAGATTGTAAGGATTGGGTACAACTGTGTGTATATTAACTACTGCATCATTAACTGCTCTCAAATCTTGTACAGGACGATATTCGTCCGATCCTGGTTTTTGAACAGGTAATAATGGAGTGTTCCAGGAGGAAGTACAGAATTTTAGGATGCCATACCTTACAAACTTATCCAAGTAGGTTTGTATGTTTTCCTTAACCTTTTGGGGTATGTGATATTGACGTAGGCTCACAGGATAGGCCCCAAGCTTTAGTTCAATATGTATGGGTGGGATATTACGAGCAAGTCCTGGTGGATTATTCTCTGACCATACTCCTGGAATGTCAAATAAGGATTCATCACTCTTAGGGTTAACACTTGTCACTATGGAATAGAAGCGCCATTCTTCCCTTGGCACCGATATCGCCATTATGCCTGGTAATCTCTTAAACTTCAGAGATGTTGATCCATTAGGTAAAAAGGTTATCTGGGCTTGAAGCTTCGATAATAGATCTCGTCCTAGAAGTTGAATTGGACACTCTGGCATATGTAGGAACTGATGCTTCACCACATGGCCTCCCAGAATACAAGTGCGACTCTTAAGAACCGGTCTAGCTGCGCTTCTCGCAGTAGCTCCTATCACAGTTATAGTTTTCCACGAAGGCGGAGCCACCATCTTAGCCACCACAGAATGTTCAGCAACTGTGTCGATCATGAAAGAACTTCTCTTTCCCCATATTGCTACATCGACCATAGGCTCCGCTTGACCAAGGGGGATGGAGCCTGGTCGGTATCAATAGTCTTCCATGATTGTGTCAGCCAGACCCAAAAAATCTCTATCCTCTCTTTCTCTAGGTCTCTGCGTGGGTGGATAGTATCTGTCTCCTTGAACACTTCCTCTACTATTCCCACCATTCCCTCTAAAACTTCCTCTTCCTCTATAACTACCACTATAACCTCCTCGTACCCTTCTCTCTCCTTGTCTATCGCCTTCATACTGCTCTCTCTGTGGACACTCACTCTTCCAATATCCCTCCTTTCTACAATACGCACATTGATTCCTACTTAAAGGTCCCTTGCTCAGCCTATTCTCGTCTCCTCTATTCACTTCCCTTCCCTGTCTTTCTACACTTGAGATAGCTACCGCTAGCATATCTGCCTTTTTCATCATCTTACGTTCTTCCTCCCGCTTTACCTCCATCTCCCTATTCATATATACTTTATTTGCAATCTCCATTAGCTGTAATATGGACATCCCTACAAATCCCTCTAATTTCTGTAATTTCCTGACAAATGCTGAATTAATCATCCTAGAATTCTCAGGAGCCTCTGGATTAAAAGGAGTATACAACCTATATGACTCCAATAATCTCTCATAAAAGGTACTAGGTGACTCATCAACCTTTTGCAACTCCTCAGCCGTCTTTGACATATTAATTGCCTTCTTCCCTCCTGCCTTCATGCCAGCAATTATGACTTCCCGATAAGTCCTTAGTTGGGGCATGTCAGCACCATTCACGTTCCAATTTGGATAATGGGCTGCAGCCCACGCAACTGGATTGGCCTGATTTTGAGTACGGGCCGTTTCCTCAAGCGCTTTAATAGCCGCTTGATTAATCCGGGTCCTTTCCTCTCAATAAAATAAAGTTAATAATAATTGCTGGAAATCGGCCCAGGTGGGATTATGTGTTTGGATAATAGAAGTAACCAAATCTGTCATAACTTGAGGTTTGTCAGTATATGAAGAGTTATGAGTCTTCCAGTTAAATAAATCAGTCATAGTGAAGGGGACATATACAAACACTGGATCTGCCCGTTGTATTTGGCCATTCTCATCCATGTGTGTTGGGCCTGGTGTAAGTCGGAGGGGCATTTGGTAATGTCGGGGTTGGAGGGCACCAGTCATCTGTCGGGTTAATATGGGACTTCGGCAAGGCTGCTCAATAATAGGTTCCGGTCTGGGAGTAGTTAGGCAAGGGGAGTGAGGCGGATTAATTTTACTGGGCGGAAGTTCGGTCAACAGGATATTACGGGCCAGGCTGGGAGAAGCCTGACCAGGAACCAGAAGTGACGTCAGTTCCGGATATATGGAACTAGTGGAGGCCTGTACCGGAAGGGGAGGTTTCAGAGCTAGTGGGCTGGGCTCTAAACTAGATGCACGAGTGGGCAGGGACAATGGAAAAAGGGGGAGTAGCAACACCAGTAGTACCACCTCTAACCTTAGAGGAAGTGTAAGGGGGTGGAGAGGGAAGGTCAGTTTCAGATGGAGAATCTAAAATGGGCGGAAGGCTACCACATGGTGGCCATGCGGTCACCAGGATAGGCCACTCTCTACTACATAAGGTAGTCAAACGTTTTGGGGACAATTCTACCCCAAAATCACAGGCTTTATATCCCTTTGTAAAGTTTTTCAACATGCACGACAAGGGATCAACAATCTTTGAGTCGGACGCACCCATACTGGCAATGGAACGTCTATTACAAAGATACACAATACTTCAAACACTTCCAACAATCACACTCGTTTCCCTGGCAACAGTACCACGTGGTACGGTTGCTAGCCAAACATACACACACGATAACAGAGAATTCTCGTTCATACAGTGATATCACAGCGTCCCACTCACAAAGATCTACCAAACACTAGCTACTTACCTCTATAACTATAAATCGTCTCTACAATTATCCGTACTATAAATCAACTTTTAACTAACCAAGTATATCACATTCTAGTAATCTCATCTTTACAGTCAGTGGTTATGGTACAGTTAGTAAGTGGTTATAATACAGTTTTAAAGTCACCGATCAGTTAGTAACAGTTATGATATTATACATATAACAAAAAACAGCAATTGTTAGTAATTTTTACACAATGTACATGTCAGTAGTTATGGTACCGTGCGCTATTTTACAGTTATACACACAATTTACACTCCCACTAGACGGCAGAGCTCAAACTTTCTAGTAGGACATACAAGTTAACCAATTCACCAACTATAATATTTTTAACAACATTTACAATAATCCCAACTATTCTAACTGGCCAGCACCTCGAGAGTTTTCGATCTATTTGTACACCAGAGATTCGACAAGTTCTTCGCTGCCCAGACACCACGTATAGCGAACTAGAGGGCAGAATTTACAACAATACCCTTTTAGTCTATTACACTATCAATAATCTAGTGGCTGGATTTACAACAGAGCACACTTAGTTAAGATAGGGTGAAATCTAGCAAACTACAATATACAACAGAGGCTGCTTAGTTTCGCCGATCTCCCCTTGCCTAGCAACCAGAATTTACACCTAGCATGCTAGTCAAGGCAGGACATCGGTGTCCGACATGAGCTATTTACACCAGAACTCAGTCTGACAATACCACCTATATTAGACGGGCTGACTACAGAGCGTCTAATGTCCAGATAAGCGCTGCACCTTCACTTCTTCCTTCCAGAGGGAAGGGGCCAATTCCAATAACCGGTTCCAAATATAAAACCCCTTGTGGGTCTACCGCTCTAACGGTATCAGTCTTACCTGTTAGTTCCTGGACCTGGGTTCACACTCATCGACGGAACACCTGGGTACTCACTGCGCAGAAGCCGATGATCTCCTGGACAAAAGGCCAGTGGCGCCGAGACGAAAGGAGGTCCACGCAGTAGAAGTCCAGGGGTGCTGCGTAGAGGATTTGGTAAAAGTTTACCGTCTCAAATCTCTGCGCCATCTTCCATGCGATGAGGTTCCCGGCTGCCAATGCACCAGAAATGTAACCGTGTAAGCATGCAGAAGCCAAACACAGAGAGATGGACACAGGTATTCAGGAAGTAAGAGGCCTTTATTCACATTACCGATCGGGTCTCAGATGAACTCCTGTTCCAAAAGATCTGAGAGACCAACACATGGTGTACATTCCTTATATAGCACTATAACACCTCCCATTAATAGCTACACCCACATATACCTTTAACCAATCAATGAGCAGAATATAGACTTGTACATCTAGTCAAACCACATGGCCCATCCAAGACAAAGGAAATAAGTGCAATTTCAGTTCCTTCATTCCTGCACATGCTCAGTACATTGATGACAGTATCCTAGCTACATGTAGCTAACTAACTGACACAACATACACATATGCCACATGGAAATCTTGGCCTACTAAATTTACATTCACCGAAATTCCACCACAGCATGAACTATCTAAGACTGGATGTAGGGAAACCAACAGAAAGGGTACACCTTTATTACCAATGTTTTGGTAGTCTGGGAAATAATTCACCCACAGACTCCCCCAGCAAGCCGCCCTCTTACCCGGATAAGGATGAGAGTGACCCTAAGTCACTGAAACAAACCTTGGGTCTCTGTCTCTACTACTAATCCAGTTACTCAGAAACCTTACTGGATTCGCTACAGATGTGACTGGACTAACCCTTGGTGGGAAGAAAAAAGTACAAGTTGTGGGTTCCCTAGATCACCACCTCACTCATCCCGCACAGAGTGAATTACCACCAAATCCACTCCTGATAGTTCTCCGTCGTGGTACCACTCTGGGTCCCCCTGACACCTCTGGTCTCCCAGAGCCTGACCAATCTTGCATCATTACCATAGAACCAGATGCAGGCGCTGGTGCTGCTTCAACTAGCACCCCCAGAAGACAGGTAGCGCCCACCCCGCCATGCATACATGGGAAGAATAAAAGCCCTGGACACCTAGCGAACAGCTAGCTATTATTACATAACTGCCCAATGTAGAAAAGAACCCCCTCGGGCTGGCAAAAGCTATAAAAACCATCCAGACCACCTACCAATGCACTTGGTGGGATTTAAAACAGATTGTTGATTTAAAGGCAGGTCCTATTATGGCAAAAATTTATAGGCAAGTACACAGACAAGGCAGAAGCGGATTTAAGAGATGCATGAATGGAGAAGTCTCACTTATAGTGACCTAGTCAAGGTGGCCATGGGCATAGAGGCTAACCAGAGTGCACATAGGAAAACCATCACTTTTATGGCACTCACAACTCCCAGATAGGCCAATAGCCGCCAGCAAGTAGAATGCTGGAACTGTGGCAGAAAGGGACACATCAAACAAAACTGTAAACGTCCTTCTCGCCTCAAACCAGACAGTCACAATGCAGCAGCAGCGCCCCCACTTACCCCTGCTTCCCCATAGGAAAAAGACAACTCGGTGTCCCTGCACGCTTGAACTATTCCTGACACAGCTGGACCCTCTCATACTGTTAATGTTAGATTACCAGGTGACAGAATAGTCCCTTTTTTTGCTCGATACTGGGGCAGTCAGATCTGTGGTGCAGGAAAAATAAATTTTCTCCTGGCCCAAATTCTCGAAACGTGGCCAAGGACAGATGATGTTGTGTTACTACAATATATTGATGATTTTCTTTTGTGTTGCCCTGATCAGGAGTCGTACTGAGCACCCCCTGTCTTTATTAGATTTTTTGGCACAAGCAGGGTGCAAAGCTACCAAGGCCAAACTGCAGGCATGCGTTCGCCACTGTTACTTTTCTAGGACACTGTATTTCTCATGCTGCAAAACATCTCACAAGTGGCACGAAAAAAAGCTATTGA